TTTTTTTTTTTTTTTTTTTTTTTTTTTTTTTTTTTTTTTTTTTTCTCCCACTTTTTTTTTTTCTTTTTTCTTTTCGTACAAAAAAGCATGATCGACAATCATCATCTTTTTTCAATTTTGGTTTTCGTACAGTTTTATTTAACTTAATAAAAATACGCTCATAGAGTATTTGATGCATCATGTATGCAATATTCTAAGCTTTTCTTCTTGCCTAATCTATATTGTACTGAATGTCAACTTAATTTGTATTCATTCAAAAGTGACATTGACGCGTGGTTGTACCGGTCGTACAATTCGCAATAAAAAGTTATTCCTTTCCATTTATAGTGTTGACAATAGATTATTCTATATATTGATCCATTTAGATCACGTTTGATCCAAAAAGAATTTGGTTCTCTGTTTAACTGTTTAACCATTAACTAACCATTAACTAACTAACTAACTGTTTAACCGCCAATTTACATTAAAAAAATGGCTGGAATTAAAACTTGTTATTTCAAATATTTTTTTCTGTTTTGGCAGGTGACATATATATATTAAAGTGCCATTAGTACCATTACACAAAAAAAAACAAAACCTTGATAATCACGAGCCAACTTCTTGTATCACTATATACATATATTAATGACACGTTTTTTAATATTTTGTCAACTTTAAAATTCTGCCCATAACCAATTTATCCGATCTTAATTTATATTACCATAAATAATTTTATAAAATTTCATAATGGCAAATTTTTTCGCGTGCTTTCGTGATTTTTATAAATATTTTTTTAATTATAAATTATTATTAATGAAACTGCGCAATTAATAGAAATGTTGCCATCATTATTAGTATTATTGTAGTAAGTATTGTAGTAAGTATTATTATTAATATTATTATCGCGTAAAAATTTTATATGTATAATAAGGTTAAATACATTTTATATGATATATTTGATATTATTATTGGCTTTTTTTTTTTTACATGTTGTTACTATTTGATGCTGAAAGAGGTGAGCGATTTCTCAATAATGGTGTGACCCTATCTCTTTTCACTCCTTGTTGTTCATAATATTTTTCTTTTTCTTGTCGTTTACGTTTTTTCATTTCCTCTTGTGATTTGGATTTATTTGTACTTGAATCAAAGTTAATTCCCATTTGATCACTATATGATTGAGTACCTATAAAAAAAAAAAAAGTTATCTATTTTAATTTCTCTGGAAAAAAAAAAAAAATATTATTATTATTATTATTTTTAAAAAAAAAACCTGTAAATAATTTTTTGTAATGGTTCAATTTTTCTTTAATATCATCTTCAAGTTCTTCTTCGTCAGAATCTTCTTCATTTTTCTTTGATTCAATGGTCATACCAAATTGTAATTCATCAGCTATTAACTCATCCTTCAAGTAAATCCTTTTAAACCATTTATAAACTTGATAATATATGAATGAATCTCTGTAATTTTCAATTTGTGCAAGTATTCTAATGTAAAACCATAATAATTTTGATTCTTTACTACTTTCCCAATATCGTAAAATGAATTTTTCCTCATAATTATCAAAGAATAAACTTAACAATTCTTTTTCATATTCTCTTGTTTCTGTCTTATCCTCAATAACACATATATTTAATAATTTTTTTAAAAGTCGTTCTCTAATACTTTCATCATCTTCTGACTTGTTTTGTCGCTAAAAAAAATTGCAAAAAAAAAAAATTTGAATCATTGGATAAAAAATAAAAAATAAAAAATTTGAAATAAAAAATTAAAATAAACTTACTGAAAATTTTAATGCTTCTCTAACATTCAAAATACTATTACGTATAAGAGCCTCAATGTAAAGTTCCATCATTTCAATTGAACTTCTTACTATACATCGGTAATGAGAATATTTTAATGCGTGATCAGGACATGAAGAAATTAAGAAAATTTTCATGATTTTCTCATCAATCCTAGGAAATTGTAAAAGTAATTTTTTCACGATCGGATCAGAAAGGCGTCCAAGTCCATCGTCAAATCTTTCATGATCCAACGCCCAACATCCGTCAACAAATATTTGTACTTCCTGTGATGAAATTAAGTATCGCGCGGCAAACATTTGTGAATGTTTATGAATAAATTTCCAATCTTTTAACAAGTAATAAATTATACCATATTTCCAAACCAAATCCTCTTTATTCTTGCTAAATAATTCGTCGAATAAATTTTTCAAATCGGATTTACTTTGAGGAGGGTATATTTCTTTATAGTCAATGCTTTCTTTTTCAAGTAATTTATCAATCATTAATTCATCTTCATATTTTTCTCTTTGAGCATTAATGTCCTTAATTGATTCAATGTTGTATGGCCCAAGATGATTAAATTCTAATTTTCCAAACCATTTTTCAAATGATGGTATGTCATCATCATCATCACTGTCAAGTGGTAAAGGTGAAATTTGATACCATTCAACTTCATTTGGTAAAACAAGTTTAAGACCCCTATTATATTGATCCGCATAAATATCTAAGAGAGGAATTTCATTATTATTCGGTGATTTTCTACAAAGTGAATCTATACGATGCCAATTTACTGTAACATTTTTTAAATTTTCAATTTTATAATGTGCAACTTCTATACCATCATGAGGTCGATAATTATTTGGTCTATAGTACATGTCCAATGCTACATATAAATTATACCCCATTTCAGTTAATGTAACAAACATGGTGATGATTTCCCCTCTGGTAACATCAGCTCCAGGGTTCCCAACAACTATACTAACATCATTCCAATTTTTCTTGTTGTCATCAAATGATATTGTTGAAATTCTTACTATTGGAATTCTGTCAAGGCGAGCCAATGGAGATTTATTAAAAATACGGGAATTAAGATGTCCATGTCCAATAAATAATAATCGTTCTTTAAAATCTTTTAGGTTACGTATAACTATATGGGTAACAGGTGGTACTGGATCTGAGGTACCAGTCAATTTCAACATTGGCATTGACCACGTTTTATAATCTGATCCATCATTCATAATCTCAAAATATTCTATATTTCCTTGTACACCTCCTGCTATTACATAAAAAACATTATTATCACCAAATGTTTCATCTAAATCATTATAAGTATTCACGGCTGTAATAGAATCTTTAGTAGATAATTTTACATTAAGTTCCCTTATGTAATTAAAGCTTTGTTGTAAATAAGGATTGTAAGCAAGCCAATATATTGATAATCCAATTACGGACGCAAAGATGAAAACATAGGTTGATATTTCACCCTTAATTAAATGATTAATGATTATTAATTAGAGATAAATTTATTTAAAAAAGAGCGGGAATAAAAAAAAAATTAAAACTTACATCGGTTTCAATTTTATCGATAATAACATCATTAATTGAAGGTATCATAGAATCAAGATCAATAGGTAATAATCGATATTCAAAATGGACAATATCATAAATAAAACAATGATATAAATTTTTTCTTGTCCGCGAGCAAACTAATAGGCTTGGATTATCCAACTGACAATCTGTTATGTAAACAATTTCCTTTATCTCATTCTCTTCGGTCAAGTTGTTTCTAAGGTTGTATTCTTTAATACTAAGCGTCTTGATATAATTATCCGTTTCTGCAGAATAAAGTTTAATTTCTTTGGAGTCATAAATATAAAGGTATTCGGTTTGGTCTACTCTTTTGTGATATGTCACGAACGCCCCGCGTTTTGCACTGCGAACTCCAACTTCATTTCTTTCCATGTTTCTTGATATCCTTCAGTAAACAAAGCAACAAAAAAAAAAGATAAATAAAATAAATTTGGATAATGAATAATGAAGCTGTAAAAATATGAATTAATACAATTAATACTAAACTACTTTAAATTATTCATAACAAAACACTTTTTTTTTTGCAATCACGCGATACTGGTTTGTGATTTTAGCCAGCATTATGAGCTCTCGGCCGGCATTAGTTGATCAGCGGGTAAATAAAGGTGTCACCAGGTGACAAATTATGCATTCACCGCATCTATTTCGATAATTAAAGTTTCATCATATTTAATTGAGTAACATCTTTCTTTCCTGACAAGATTATATTATGTAGTTAAAAATGCAAAAAGAAAAAAATTTTTAATTTTACGATCGAGTATGAAAAAAAATTCGTTGTAGGCTAATAATTAATAAAATTATATAGTCCCCCGCTACGCTCCGGACTAATAAATTTGAAATTTAATGGTTTTAACATCATTATCATTAATCAATAAAGCGATTTAAAATATTTTAATTTTTAATTTAACAAAGTTCTATAAATAACATAACAGTCTGTAAATAAATTATAATGCAGTTCAAATTACAAGTCTATACCAAAAAAAAATAAAAAGTTCTTAAAAATTTGGTTGAATTATTGTAATTATTATAAACATCCAGGTAAAATCCTAAATGGCCTAACAGGGTTGGTTTCTTCCAACTCCAAAGCATACCACAAACAATCCTTCGTTCTCTTAACTCTATTAGTTGCTTGATATATTTTACCAAGATAAAACCTAATAAAGAATATAAATATAAATACGTATTTATCTAATAATAATATATTAAATATACACAATTTCCTTAAAAAAAAAACGTACCATGCCTCTGCACAGCTCCATCCATTACTTTTTGTAACATTATCTAAAAGTCCTTCTGCCATCTCTAGATCATCCATTTTCATATAAACTCTGGATAAATGTACCAAACTATACGTATGATTATTGTCAATTGAAAGAGCTTTATGAAAAGAAGTTATAGCATCTGCATAACTTTCTTGTGCAAATAACAATAACCCGAACTGTATATAAAAAAAGAATTATTTAAAACTTCGAACCTTTATAGAGTAAATAACCATAATTAGTAGCTTACCTGACACCAAACATCGGGACTTAAATCATCAACTTCCTCGGCACTTTCAATGGCTTTTTGCGCTTCTTCCAAATTTCCAAGTCTTCGAAAAGTTGAAGCTGAAGCAAGCCATAAGTCCGTCAATACTTTAGTAGCACGTTGACGACGTTGTTTTGTCTTTAATGTTGCTTGTGGTGATTGTATAGTAGCTGATTTTGCTGTAGATAATTGTACACCTGTAATTGTTTGTGCAGGACTTCGTTTTAATCCAGAAGACGCTGAATTTCTTGATGATGCTATTGATGGCGTATAATTCGCTTTAGGTACATCTATTTATAAGAATAGAGTAAATACATATAACAATTGAATATTTTTGACGAATCTATCTTTTATGTGGAGGAAAAAAAATTTTAGTTTAATAATAATTACCAAGTGTATCCTTATTACCAGCACTGGAAATCGAACCTTCAGTACTTATGTAACCTTCCTTTTTGTCAGCACTAGTAAAGCTCTTAACACTATTATTACTAACAGGCAGTTTAGCCGCCGTAACAGGTGTAAGTGTTTCTTCATACGTCATGTTTTGTTTTCGTAAACTTGAAACATCGTAAACTGATCCATTTGGTGATGCTATAATATTATAGTCTGGGAACATTTTTGCGTATAACATAAACAATTTATCAAAATTATTTATAGCAGCATCAGATCCATTAACTAACTCTTGTAATGCATTTTGCGTCAATTTCAACGAAATAAATTCATCTCCATCATCATTTCCCATGGCAGAAGATGTACTATAATCACCCGTTGAATCAGCCGCTTCCCAATCCGATTCTTTTATTCCTAATTCACATGCCTTAAGAGCCCCCTGAGAATCCTTTTGGGAAGAAAGTAATAACACTAATAAATGCCAACATGGTATGCTTGAACTATTAAGGTTTATAGCTTGTCTTATACTAATTATTGCTTGGCTAATGTCCCTTATTGTGGCATATTCAAGCGATAATCGATAATGAGATTCAAATGCTTCCGAATCCAATAATATTGACTCGTTCAATACTTCAATAGCTTTATTATGAAATTCTGATCGTTTGCCAGGATCAGTTTCTAAAAATAATATTAAGAATAGGTTCATTTTAATATTCATATTAAGATAAATTTTTCTTTTAAATAAAAATTATTAATTAAAATCAAATTTTAACCTTCAGCAGCAAATAAACTATATCCAACTCCAACACATCTCAAAACATGTGCGTATAATTCTTCATCATCTAAATTGCTGTCATCTTTATACCAAAGTAAGGCTTTTTGTGCAACTTCTAATGCTTCTTTAGCCTTAAAGTATAAAGACAATTCAGTAAAATTATTATTTTAGTTAAAGCGAATCTTACGCATTACCTTATTCATATATTTTGCCATCAGTACTGAGCCAGTAATCAGCGTTTGTATAACTTGTTCAGAAGTTTCAATCGTCATTTCATGCTTAACTAGTGTAGAACATTCTTTAGTTTCCTCTAGCGATTCTTGCATTTGCCTTTCAATATCTTCAATTTTTGTTTCTTTCGCTTTTTCAACAAGTGCAATATATGCACTAAGAGCCAATTCAGCTTCTTCATAATCTCCGTAAGTAATCAATGAATTTATGAGATGTCGCAATATTCTTGGAGATTGAAATGTTTTATGTGTTGCACGATGAAGCATCTTTTAAGAAAAAAAAATATAATCACGTCATCACATTATTTTAAGAACAATTCAATGAAATGCAATTAACAGCACATACCAACCTCAATTAATTCACGCATTTCTGCAGAAGTTCCACCACCCAATATAGTCCAGTCAGACATAACTTGATCAACCATTTCCAAAACCCTCCAATTAGCTTCTCCAGCCTTTGGAAAAGAAGTAATTTGAAATATGACATTTTCATACAATAAATGTAATTCAGTCAATTCAACACGAAATGTGTGTGGAGTATAAATTGTAGACTGCTCACTATTAATTTGAGAAGTTTAGTATATCAAATACACAATGATGATGAATGATAATAATATACTAAAAAATAAAATATTTACTTTGACGTAACACTTGGTGGATCGTACGTTCCTTCTTGATATATTTTTGATAATAATTTAATAAAATACTTGTATATAACTGCACGTTTATTGATTCTGAATTTATCCCCCCAAAGTGTAGCATATGACTGATATGTGCGAAATGATTGAAGAGCTCCTTTCGTGTCACTGATTAAAAAAGTAAATATTTTCAGAAACATGATACAATTGTAATAATGATTTTTCTAGTTTTCTCAATTACCCTAATCGTACTTTCAACAAAGGTGCGCGATATAAAGCTTCTTCAGACCAATTAGACAATTGATCTTGTTTTTCGTTAGAATTTGGTGACAACAATGCCGCAACTTGGTCATAACATACAATGGCTTCATCGAAATCACTTAAAGATTCATGAGCCATTCCTAACAAAGAGCGGATTTTTGAGTTATAATATACTAATTTTTTAAAATATAAATTGCATAAACTTACCTTTAAGAACTAATCCTTGAATGATAAGTACAAAGTTATATCCTATGGGTAGTTCTGATGGAACAAAATTTGTACTTAAAACTTCCACACATTTGCCATATTTTCCAACAACAAAATAGGCTCTCGCGAGTATAATTGATGCATACTAAAGTAATTACAATATAAATATAAAAAAAATGCATTATTCGTCTACTCTCATTGAGAATAATATCTCTAAAGTACTATAACTATTATGATCACCATATGAATAATAAATCATATCTGTATAAATATAATTGTTGAAACTAGTAAAAAATTAAAAATGTAATTTAATAATACAATTAATTCCATTATAAGATATTTGAATCAATCTAATCTCAAATGCTATAAAAAAATGTTTTCCAAGTTCAGCCATTCTCCAATCATTTATTTCTCACCTTTTTCTCTTGATCTTGAGCTTCGGCCAAGGCAACTTCGATTTTCTCAAATACCTCCTTGATTTTTGCTTCATCAATAGTAGGCTGTAAAGTAATGTGTTTTGGCGAATCATCATCATAATTACATTCTATTTTTTCTATTGCCTGCACTAAAGCATGTTCTGCTAATGCTGATTGCTGAAGAACTATACAATTTTTTTAAACAAGTAGATTGTCAGTTTTATTAAATTTTTAAAAATGTGAATAAAGTTCAAACTTGCCTACTCCTGACGGATTATGTTTTCGATATTTTCTCGCTAATTCTGGAACTTCGTTCCAGCTACCTATTTCCGACGGATCAAGTATTCAATAAAATTAGATACATAATTGATATTCATAAATGTTTAAAAGAAGTAGAATTAAATACTGAGGTAATTTTAAAAGTTATGTAAAAATTACCTTTACATCGAGCAGCATCGAGTTCTCTCGCTCTTTGATTTGCTTTTGTAAGGTTTGTCATTTAACAAACTTTTCTAATTGATTATAAAAGAAATTAAATACTTGGATAGATTAAAAAAAAACCTTTTTGAAATAATTTTTTTCGATCTGATCCGTTTGTTCGTAGGTTCGATTGTTTGTACTGTACGACAAATTTTATTATCTTGAAATTTTGCTGTAAAAACCGGGAATCGGATTTTTTACGAATTTAACACTTTAATTGGTTTAATAGCTCCTTCCATTTTAATTAAAAATACGTTGTTTGATTTGTTAAAAATTAAATTTTATGTATAATGCTATTTTAAATTAATTTGAATTATTTCAATTTATATAAAATATTACCTAAATTCTAGAATATAAATCAGAAAATAAACTATTATAGATGTTTATATAACAAAAAATTTTAAGGTAAAGCAATATGAAAATCAACTGTATGTAAATCATGTGATAATAATATGCTTTTATTAGCCCTACATGAATGTAAAATAATGGAATATTGATAGCTCTTAGTACAAACTTTAAGGGAAATTTTATAACTATAATATTGTAAAAGAAACTGAAAAGTAAGCTTTTAATTAAAATATTAAATTCGTTATAAACAGTAGTTATAATATATAATGCACTATTTTTATTAAAATAGATAATAATAAAGTTGTTATTTAAAGTAAGATCTTAAATATCTAATACTGTATAAGGATTCTGGATATTTCTAAAACAATTCATAAGTTATACTAATTTTTTTAAAAGTTAAAAATTAGAGTTATGTAATTTTTTTTAGCATTTAATAGTCCAATTTGATAAACTTTTTTATTTTTAACTTTTATTTTTATTTAATATATATTATATATATATATTGACTAAATTTTCTTATATTCTCTTATATAATTTTTATGATTCTTTTTGATTATATTCAGAAGCTCTGTAATTTTTTTCACTTCATGTTCATTTCATTTAAACCATAAAGATTCTGTATTAGCTAATAAATTATAAAATATATTTGAATACTTTCCTAAATTTTCTTTAAAAATTGGTAAAGCTTTTGCAATTTCTTCTAAATCATTAAAAATATTTTAGAAAAACTTCAATATTTACTATTATGAAATTACTGATTTATTAGAAATTTGATTTAAAGTTTTGTAGAATTTCAAGCTATATATAAAAAGGTAAGGTAAGGGTAAAAAAAAAGAGTATATATATTTTTTTTGACTATTATATATTATATAAATAGCCATATATGGCTAATGACTTATTTAAATATATACAGAATTAGAATCCCAAGCTATATATATAGTGATAAGGTGCAGCCAAAAAAATTACTATTAGCTTTATGCATTTTTTCAAGACTAGAATTATGATAATACCAGTTAGTATCTAAAAAAAGAAATAAATTCCAGCTAGCATTATCTATAAAGGAAAGATCTATATAATTATTTTGGCCAATTCTACACAACTTGATTTTTGAAATAAGTTTTTGTTTAAAATGGCATTATTTTTTTTTAAAAAACCTATAGAATTTTTTATTATTATTCTAATTGAAAGTTGATTATAAAGATGCTTATCAAAACTATTTTTTCAAAATTTTAGTTTAGTCAAAATTCAATCTAAAACTATTTTTTATAATAAAATTAATTGCTTAAACTATTTTTATACTTTTCCAAAATTAATTATAATTTAGAAAAGTTTCAGATTTACCAATTTTTCATTAAAAATAAAGTTTTTGAGTTTTAGATTTTAATTTTATTATTAAATGAATTTCAGGTAGCAACACTAATTGGTCATACAATGAAGTATGCAAATATTATTACTGAGACAAAAATGGCAAAAATCTTAGTACAACTTTACTTTAAGAAAAATCTTAGTTAGCTAAAGTAAAATAAGAACTACTACTATTTCTTTCTTTATAAAATTGGCCTATAGGTATTAAAATTAAGAATCAAAAAAGTATTGCATAATATAATTTATAAAAGAATGCTTTACTTTCAAGTTATTTAAAATTTTTCTGTTTAAGATAAGAGAGAAACTGGCTATGTATTTCTTAAACTATTAAATAACCTATTTGTTAAATACTAATCTTTTTTATTTGCTAGTTATTTGAATCACTGTGATGATCTACTTCTATTTTCTAGATTGTTAAGAATACTAAATATAAACTTTTTTTGTTATACTTTATAAACTGCTAATTTATACCTCTTTTTATTTTACTTTTTTTTAGAAATGAACAAGAAACATAAGAAGAATAGACAGATGATTAAAATTATAACAATCAAATTATATTAAATAATAATAATCTGTTAAATAATAAATAATAACGATCAGAATAATTGGATGTACATATTGACTATGATATAGAAAAATATTAATAATTGAAAATTTTTCTGACAAATTGAAGTTCAAATTTTGGACTCAAGTCTTTAAATTATATTATTATTTGGATGAAGGTAATTGGAAGTTTCAATATGATATTATCAGTATAGCCAAAAGATACCTTAAGGCAGATAAATATTTATCTCAAGCATAACATGCTCTTTTAGATTCATATCTAATAATAATAGTATAATTTTCCTACATTACATTAATAATTAGTGAATAATAATCTTGTAATTCTAAAAACATTAATGTTGAAACTAACTTTTTAGCTAATGAAACTTCACTACTTCATTATTTTCTGAACTTACTGTATTTAATGTGTTAATTGCTAATAACCATCAAAATACAATAATAAATGAAACAAATCTTCTCTTTAAATTTACAGAGAGTAGATTAAAGTCTAACATAGTGTTATTTGTAAAGTCTTTTTTCGTAGAATGTACATATATATACAAACAATGCAAGTATTTGGAATTCATTTATAATAATACACATTATTTGCATTATACCTATTATTTTTGAGATAGAAAGTTCATAATCGATCTTACAAAGAAAAATAGTAAATCATTTTAAAAGAACATCATCAATTATTAAACTATTCTCTCCAGTTTTATCAAATGCTGATATTGTTACTAATTTTATGGCAGGGACTTAAAACTATAAGAACAGATCTTTGTTTCAATAACTTGTATACCATTAGTCCATTACGAAGTAATTCCGCTGTTAATGCTTTGTAAGTGTCTTTTACTAAAGAATAAAAATTTCTTAAAACATCAATTAATACTTCAATAGAATGTGAAAGAAGTTTTTCATCATTATTATCTATTTTGGGGTGAATGGTTATCAATAACTAGCCGGATCAGACCAGGCTCATATAGAATAGTACGAAAAGAAGGACGTTTTGCAGGGATAAACAAAATTTATTTTCGCAGTCAATGTCATATGTTGTATGTATAATTATTATCATTATTCAGAGATCAAATAATGATAACCTCAAATTCCTTTCACCCTTTCTCTTATATAATAATATACAGTATATAATAATCCTTCTTTAATTATATACTTATTCTCTTGTTGTATATTTTTACATATTCTATTGTACTCTTCTTCGTCCATTTTACTTATTTACCTCTTCAATAAAACCATCTAGTTTTTATAATTTATTCCATAAATTTACTAATCTTTCGATATCATCATTTTTAATTTTTACTTCTTGGTATTATTATTAATAATGATAATTTAAATTTTGTCGGATCAGACTAGGCTCATATAGAATCATTTGAAATATAATTCCAAAAAAGCCAAGCTCCATTACTATATATTTTTATATAGGAATATTTTGCGATTTTCAATTGCCATTAATTGAGGTATAATTTGGTTAAGTCTATTAGCCAAAATATTACAGTTTTGCAGTTTTTGCAATAATTATGTTCAATCTTACGTATTTATTATAGCCTTTAATAATTGATGAAAATGTGGTTTCAAACTTCTACGGAATTATTAATTGGTAATATGTCACAAACTAGGCATTCCCCTGAATTTAATCCTAGCAAATTTGTAATGTATGCTGAGGAATTAGGATATGAAATAGATTCATTCTCTTCTATAGAAATATAAAAATTTTGTTCATACTATTTCTTTTTGTTTCGTTTCTATTTTGTTGTATTGCCTATTTTCTCTATTGAATAAGATGATAATAAATCATTTCCTAGATAAAATTCTTTCTCTTGACTGAATAACTTTTGAATTTCTTTTTTTCCAAATAAAAGATTTAATTCTACTTTAACTACAACTTTCATTTCTTCAAGTATAAAGATTTGATAAATTATTTATGCCTATACCATTTATCCAAAATGGCATAGTTTTCTTTCCGTTGCATTGTAGATTTATTTAGACAGTATTTGCAAGCTCTCCATCCAAATTATCATAAACATAGTCCATAAATCTTCCAAGTCCAGATCCTCTAAGTAAACCATATTGGTATTTGGTACCTGGTGTCAAATTTACCAATTTTGTATTTTGTTTAAAAAACGATTTTTTTAAAATAATTATATTTTTAGAATAAATTTCATAAATTAAAAGTTCGTATGCTTCCCATTGTTTTCTTTTAGGTAAGTCAGTATATATATATATTTTTTATTTTGTTAAATATAGACAGACTGGGGCAATAACAAGGGAAATCTCTGAAAGTTACCACCATTACAAACGGTAGACTAAACTATACATAACGTTAAATACCCAGCCCCTTAGCGGAGTCGTCCTGCCTGTTATTTAAAAATCTGAGGCATGGCTTAATTTCTATTATCTATATCATTTTAACTTTAGACAATAAAATTAAATAAAAAGGTACTTCCGTAAGTCAATATATTCATTGTAAACCTTTTTAAATACGCGCTCAAGCAACATGTGATCCACGTGATGTATAAACATGATCTAAATTTTACCTGTACCTATTTTAAGGTATTGTTTTGAGCTTCTTTTTTGCTTTAATAGCTTGTTTTATGGTATTGATTCGCTGTTAATGTAGCTTTATGATCTTTTCTATCGAAAAATTAAAACTTCAATTGATTATTAAACAGAATAATTCTTTCATTATTAAATATTTATGATGATAATGAAATAATGACATAAATGCGGATCATGATCTAAGATATATCTATTATCAATACTGCTCAAAATTCCCAGCATCAGACTCCATCTCCATACATTGTTACATTGTTGCATAGAAAGATTTCACGATTCCCAAGTTCATTAATTTTTTTTACCAAGGTCCAATTTCCTAATATACAATAATTCTGTTTAAAGAGTACTGTATATAATATATACAGTATAAGTAAATTATAGGATTTAAATAAAATAAGTAATCAACTTACATGGTAATTGAAACGAATCTTAATTTCTACAGTTAACAAAGGTTAATAATTATATATAATTATTCAAAAATGTTAATAATTAAAGAAATAAACCATCTACGGTATTTCTAGAATATCAATTTCGTTCACTATATCAGGGACTTCAAAATATTATTTCCGTTCATCATGTCAGGAATTTCTACAACTATTTTATTATCCTCGTTCACCATCATTAATTTCCCATTTCTTGTTTAAATGTGTTTGTCTCGTCATATAATTTATTTTTCTTATTGAATAGTATGAAAAAATTCCAGTATTAAGGAAAGGAAATTAATCTAAAAATAGATCTTTTATATTGTTCAGCCATTACAAAAATTATCCTTCGATTTTAATTTTGTAATTAAATTCTCGTGCATTTTTTTATTCGTGTTCATTCCATTTAAGCTGTTTTATTAGCTGAAAGTTTATATATCTAAGATGTTTTCCAAAATTTTCTTAAATCATTATCTAAAATATTTGAAAAAACTTCCGGTATTGTAGCTATTGACCATCAATTATTAAACTAACTCTCTTCAGTTTTATTAAACTAAAAGGACTTGGAATGTTACTATCAGAAATATTGTAATAACTACGAGATGAAACTGCTGTTAATGTAATTTTTTCACTGAAAATAAAGCTGCCATTGATCCTTGAGTAGAGCTCGTCTATAATATATAACTTAATTGAAATATAATTCAAAATATTATTCAAAAAATTCCAAAAAAAAATCAATCTCCATAATTAAATAAGATGACAGTACTAGGTTCTTTACCAAAATCCAAAAAATTTTTTTATTTGACTCTGAAGTAAAAACCAATATTTCCTTTTCAACTTTTTCAATTTTCCTTCACAATCAAATCCTTTAATATTAAAATTAATAAAAGCGGTTCCATCTTTTCTAATGTCCCTAATGAAATTATTGAATGTGAACTAACGATATAAATAAGTTATAAATGTGATTTTTCTTTTACATTTTGAACTTTGTCAAAATTTTAGATTTTTTAATAATAATGAAACCCGATCGTATTTAAAGTTTATATAAATCGAGCAAATCAATTAATTTATTTGTAAATTTTATAATTATATTATAAAAACATTTAAATTAGAATCCACTAAAGCATATGTGATAGAAGGCTCATTTGTTCAGATTGATTTCTTTGCATTAGATCCCGAAAGGATAGGGATTGATTAGAATCAATATTTTCGCGGAATTGCGAATATTTAATGGAATATTCCGCTACAACTTTCTCATTCTCCTCACCATAATTCCAATAGGGATCTGTCTTTAAATTGAGTGGAATATCGGAAATATAAATTAATTTCTTAAACTCGCACATTCTAACTGTCCGGTCATTGTCCTCAAATCCTTCCCCTTTGGGCTTTTTGACGTTAGGCTCTTTCTTAATCTCATGAGGAACATATTTTCTGATTCCTTTGGCAAGTTCAATCTTGCGCTGCTCCGCTGCACGGGCATCCTCTTTATTTTGCTTTTTGTTTCTCGCATTAATACGTGCCCAAACGTCATCAGTTGGATCACGTTCGGCAAATTTTGATTCAAGTTCTTCGCTAATCTCTTGTATCCTTGCATCTAACTCTTTAGCTTCCTTTATATCTCCTCTAAGCTCTGCAAAATATTTGAGAGTTGTTAAATTTGATTTTTCGATCGTCAACTCTTTCTTTTCGCCGCGTAGGGCTTTCTTTTGTTGAACAATATTTTCAACATCTTTTTCTGTAAGTATATACTCTTTAGCCCTATTTAAATCTTCTTGTTTGCGAGAAGTATGTTCTTTCGATGGCAATTCCATATTATGATGTTTCATAGTAATTAACCAACGCTCAAATTCGGACTAAAATATTGGAATAATAATTAACAATTATTAATGTGTATGTATTTATATTTATACATTTTTTTTTTTTTTAAAAAAAAAGGAAAATTATTTACTTGATCAACATATTGATTGGATACAATATCCATAGGCCAGCATTTAACAGCATCAGCATGTCTAAGTTTGAGCACTTTATTTGTAATAGTCTTGTCAACGTAATATTTGTTTTCTGTAGCCTCGACACCTTCAATCTCACACAAACGATACACTTGTTTATCTTCTCTATCTCCAATATGCAATCGAACGTAACATCCTACTATGGCGTCAGCTAAGAATGGAGCGAACATCCAATTTACAAGCATATGCCGGGATACTTGGATGGTTCTTAATTCTTGCAGTGTAATATCCTGATAATAATTCAGATTTAAAATAAGAATATAAGTATTTATTCTAAATCAAAAATTTGAAAAAGCTACGAACTTACTTCATGAGTACTATCTTTTTCGCCATCCCCTTCATATTCATCATTTGATGATGAGGCATGCTCAAGTTCAGGACTTTGAGAACCAGATTTTGTTTTTTGTTCCTTTTCTGCACGTCGACGTTTGAATTCATTAAATTTTTTTTTGCTTGCCTTTTTCGCTCGTGAAGATCTCTTAGATTTATCATCTAATGGATCAAATAACTGCTGGACTGCATGCAGATCCAAGTGGTGTTGTTTCTTTTCGGCTCTGTCAGCCAAGATCCTTTCTCGTGCAAGTTCGTTTAAGTTTCCCAATCTTTCTCTATCATTTCTATCATGATACAAATCTGGCCCATATTCTCCAGGGGAACCTCTTCGGCGTTTATCCTTACCACCATCCTCAAAGTATTCGTCTTCAGGCGATGGAGATCTTGAACCTCTACTCTTCCTTTTTTGAGAAGTACGTGTATCTTCTTCACCAGATCCAGACTGTGAACCACCCGGTTCAGAAGCTTGTTCGGAACGTTTTGAATTTTCACCGACATCACCAGTGAGTGCAAGAATTTCGTCTTCTATATCAGACATTATTTGCTTAAAAAAAGATTAAAAAGAAAACATTGAACAAATTTCAATCGTGCTGCGTCATATTTATTGGCATAGTATAATACTGTATGACAAATTTTTAAATTAGGGTGGTCAGTATGTCACATGATTTTTCCACCTCAGACGCGACTTTATTCGTTTCGTTCAGTTCGTATTCAGTATTCATTGAGAAACATGTCGGAACCAAAGAAATACTGCCTGGAACATACTATTATGGTACAGACTACAGACAAAGTAATAAAACATAATCTTGTAATAATAATAATAGAACTATTAAAACACTTAAATTTGAAAGGAAACGGCAAAAACATCCTACTATGGCGTGAGTTTCAATCGCTATGACCCACACGATAATAATATTTTCGCTGTTGTTGGTGGACGTAATGTAAATACACTGTTTTAATAAAAAATTTCAACGCGTACTTTGTCCGTTTTCGCGTATTTTGTCCGTTTTTACCACCTTTTTAACCTTATTAGCTTTTATTGGTTTTATTTTTCTTAGGTTATAATCGCCCGTCTTGACAGTGACAAACCTGTGGCACTTAAAGTAGTTCAAACCTACGTGGATGACGATGTAATCAAATGTACATTTGTGTATTTTTTGTAGTTTTGATATATTAAATAACAATTCCTTTGTTTATACTGCAGGAGGGAGAGAATTTTTATTGCTGCGCTTGGTCGGTCGATCCAAATATAGGTGCACCGCTACTTGCTGTAGCTGGAGCTACAAGCATTATTAAAATCATAAACACAAGTGTTGGATCGGCTATGAAGGTATGGCATATTTATATTACGTATTGATTTAATTAAGCTGCTTGTATGACTAAATATTTCGTTAAATTTTATACTCTAAGGCTCTTACGGGCCACGGCAACGTAAGTTTGATGCAACTCAATTTTATTTTTAATTAAATTTAAAGTTTATAATAATATATAGGAAATTAATGAAATAAAATTTCACCCGAGGGAACCATCTTTACTCTTCTCAGCGAGTAAAGATCTTTCTATACGTTTGTGGAACCTCAAGACCATGCAGACTGTCGCCATCTTTGGCGGAGAATGCGGCCATCGTGAGCCGGTTTTGAGCATTGTAATGGTTCAAAATGTCATTGAAACTCTTCTTTTTAAATGTATGCTTATAAGAACTTAATTCTTTAGGATGTGCATTTAACCGGTGATTTCTTAGCTTCATCTGGAATGGATTGCGCAGTCAAGATATGGACGCTATGTACGCCGGTAATCAAACATGCAATAGGGTCGTCCATTAATTCAAACCCTTCGTCATCTCATTCTCAACAATTGTCACAACGAGAACAACAATCATGTTGTTCGCCACATGTTGCACCATCAAGGGCGGTGACTGTGCATTATCCCATCTTTTCTACAACTGAATTGCACAACAACTTTATTGACTGTGTAAGATGGTACGGCGATTTATTACTATCAAGATGTGCTGCTGATGCAAAGATTGTGTTGTGGAAACCTGATGTAGAATTGGTGGCGTTCGATAAGTCTAACATCACAACAGTAGTTGTAGGTGGACCAGCTACTCCTAGTAAGGTAAGAGCATGTGATATAACTATCAAATTAAAATGGTTTTTTCTTATTCTTCTTATTTCTAATATTCCAACAACTAATGGGTTTAACTTTCTAGCAACAAGCGAACTTCGATATAATTTGTGAATTAGAATTCACACATAGTGACATCTGGTTTATTCGCTTTGGATTTTCGTATGACTTTCGAATGCTTGCAACGGGAAATCAAGTGGGAAAAATTTATTTGTGGGACACAAAAGATATTCCGTATTATATTGACGGCTATATCGAAAAGAAAAAAGCAGAATATTTGGTAAAGAAATCTAGCGTAAAAAGGAAAAGAGGTACTCGCGTAAGTAAAAGCGCAGTTATCAAGAAACCTATTATCCTCGAGTCAGATTGCAAAAGCACAATTCGACAAATCGACTTCTCAAAAAATAGTCAATGGATTGTATCAGTTTGTGATGACGGTTCGATTTGGTGTTGGAAATCGAATATTGATACAACATTTCAAGAGTCAATCAAAGGTTCGGGAAGTAGCGATGATCCATTGATTATAGACTAATACAAATATTTGTATGCTATTAATTACTTTCTTAGCTTGAAATTATAACTTTTTATTAACGAATAATGCTAACATTCCAAAAAAAATTTTAAATTGCTATTATTCATTCTAATGCCATAATGAAATTATATTTTATCCGAAGCTCTTTTAAAAAAGTTCGAATGAATCCAAATGAGTTTACCAGGTGGGTAATTCGGAAATAGACTGTTCGTGCTCATGTTCATATTCAACTTCAACATATGTTCCACCTTTAATTGAAAATTGTTTTTTTAGTTAGAAATGTTATTATCAGATTAACAGATGTATCAAATAATCAAAGAAAAATTTCAAATGAAATGCTCACGTTTTTTCTTTTTCGGTCGAGGATCTTTATTTATAGTTCTTCTCTTGCTCTATTAACATAAAAAATTATAAAATTAGGGTGTTATCTAAAATTATTAAAATTGCAAAAAAAAGTTTTCTTTACTTTGTTATTCTCTTTCGCTTCGATTTCTTGTTCCTCCTCTTCTTCCTCATCGTTATCTATTTCTTCAGAGCTTTCTGTGTCACTATTCTCCTCTTCGTATTTCTATGAATGTTGATTATAAGCATTTTATATATGTATTAATCGAATAAATATTTTAAACGGAAATAAACCTCTTGATGATGCTCGAGAATATCTTCTAAATCTTCTAATTCAATTTCACTATCATTTTCAACAAATTCATTTTCAACTTCCAAGTCTTCAACTTCACTTTCACTAGTGATATCATCTTCTGCCTCAACTTTATCACCTTCCAAGACTGATCTCCATACGTCTTCATTAACATTGAGTGGCGTGTCGCCATATGCTTTACTTTTTAGACGGTTAATCAATTCTTTTTCAATAGTTTTATCCAATCGTGCTGCTGCTTCAGCTTTTCGTTCTCTTGTAGCCTCACGCCTCTCAACTTTCTTTTTGATACCAACAAGTTTCGGTCTTTTGAAGAATTTAAGAAAAATAAATAAATTAAAAATAAGTAATTTGAAAAAGAGCAATGAATATAATTACCGATCTTTTAATCTTAATTTTCTCATCCGTATTAAATATTGTGTTATTTTGGTTAAACGTTGTTTACATTTATGAATCAAAAAATTTGGCCAATTCATTAATTCATTATCAATCTATAAATTTTCAATACAAAGAAATCTGATTTTACGAGTTATAAAAGTTTAAAATCAAAAGTTAATAAAGTTTAGCATACCTGCTCTAATGCTTTAGAATAATTTTTTGAGAATTTAACACGTTCCCACATTTTAGCTGGCATATTTGCCCGATCAGGAATTTTTTTGTACAAATAAATTACACCTAAATTTATATCATAAAAAAATTATAAAAATTGAAATAATAATAATAATAACAATAAACAAGGTAAGCTTAGTATAATTAATACCATCAATCTCACGAACTGTTGCATATTTAGAATTAGCTAAAGGACATGATTGTCTACTACAAAACCCTGTAACATTATATTCATTTCGACAAAAGTTCTGGGTTACAGTTCTAAAAGGAAAATTTCGATAATTGAACAATTAATAAAAGAAAAACAATGCTAAATAAACGACTTAAAAAAGCTTACTTGACTTTATAGGAACAAAATTGTTGATTTATGATTTGCCATACAATTTCGTCTGACATCTTTAATAGCATCTAAGGTCAAAAATTTTTTGATAAATTTAGATTAGGCAATGTAAATTTTGGGATCGACAGATATAAATTAGGCAGATCAGCAAAATTTTACTGATCGATAAAAAAATTTTCGTTTTTTTTTGTCTTTTTATGAACTATGAAGAAAGTTATAGATTCGAGGATAAATACATTGGTAAAAAATGGGGTACAAAACAAACATCGTACCTTCTTTGTCGTTGTTGGGGATAAAGGCAAAGATCAGGTACGTAATTTATTTTATTGTTGTTGAACACAATATTCGTTAAATATAAAGATAACAGTATAATTCTCTGTTTAGGTAGTAAATTTACATTGGTTACTTTCACAAGCTCAAGTTACTGCACGACCTTCAGTTTTGTGGTGTTATAAGAAAGAGTTAGGGTTTAGTAGGTGAGGAATCCTTTTCTTCTCAATAGTATTCATTAAATTTCTAACCTGTTGTTCTTTTGGTCAGTCATCGTAAGAAAAGGGAGGCAAAGATAAAAAAAGAAATTAAACGTGGCATAAGAGAGCCCAATACAGAAGATCCATTTGAACTATTTGTTGCCGTAACAAATATTCGATATACATATTATAAAGAGACACATAAAATTTTGGGTAATACATATGGAATGTGCGTATTACAGGTATGGTATATTGCTTTACAAGGTGTCAAGAATTTCGATTCACTTAAAATTTATAAACTTTTAATGTTAGGATTTTGAGGCATTGACTCCAAATTTGTTAGCACGTACTATTGAGACAGTAGAAGGTGGTGGTATCATTATCATATTATTAAAAACAATGAAATCATTAAAACAATTATACACGCTAACAATGGTTTGTTACTATTCTTTATTATATTATTTTATTGTTATTGATTTATTATTCAATAATATATATTTATATGTCTTAATAGGATGTGCATTCACGTTATAGGACTGAAGCTCACGATGATGTGACTGCACGGTTTAATGAACGTTTCATTCTCTCACTTGGGTCGTGCGAAAATTGTTTAGTTGTTGATGATGAATTGAATGTTTTACCCATTTCAACTGGTAAAAATGTTAAGCCATTATCATTAAAGACTGCAGAACATTCATCAACAGAACAGCAGGAATTAAAAGAGTTGAAAGCATCTTTAGCGGATACAGAACCCGTTGGTTCTTTAATTGCACCGGCAAAAACATTAGATCAAGCCAAAGTTATCCTCACTTTTATTGAATCTATAAGTGAAAAGGCTTTGCGAAATACAGTTTCTCTTACTGCTTCTCGTGGACGTGGTAAATCTGCCGCACTTGGAATTGCAATTGCTTCTGCTGTTGCATATGGTTATTCAAATATATTTGTAACATCACCCAGTCCTGAAAATTTGAAGACTTTATTTGAATTTATCTTTAAGGGATTTGATGCTTTAAAGTACGAAGAGCATTTAGATTATGATATAGTTCAATCAACAAATCCCGATTTTAACAAGGCTATAGTCAGAGTAAATATTTTCAGACAACATCGGCAGACTATTCAAGTGGGTGAAAAGAGATCCATTCAAATTTTGTATTTCTATTTACCCAAAACATACGTAATTATACTGACCAGATAAACAGTACATTCAACCACAGGATGCACATGTTCTTGGGCAGGCCGAATTAGTAGTGATTGACGAAGCAGCAGCCATTCCTCTTTCTCTTGTAAAAAGTCTAATTGGTCCATATTTGGTATTTATGGCTTCAACAATAAATGGTTATGAGGGAACTGGGAGGTCTCTATCCCTTAAACTTATTCAACAACTTCGTGAGAAGTCTAAAGGTTTTATGGGAAAAGAAGGGCGTACAGATGTTTCGGATGAGATTGCTATTGTTGGTCGCGATGGAAAAGCTGAAAGAGAAGTAAATGGGGCAACAGCCGGTGGTCGTGTACTTCGAGAAATAAAACTAGAAGAGCCGATTAGATACGCTTTAAATGATCCTGTTGAAAAATGGCTAAATAAACTTTTATGTTTAGACGCATCCATCGTTTCTAAAAATATTCAAGGCTGTCCACATCCACAAAAGTGTGAATTATATTATGTGAATCGGGATACTTTATTTTCTTTTCATCCTGTATCAGAAACTTTTCTACAAAGGATGATGTCATTATATGTAGCAAGTCATTATAAAAATTCACCCAATGATTTACAATTAATGTCTGATGCTCCAGCTCACCATTTATTCGTTTTGCTACCACCTATAAAAGAAGGTGATAATTCATTGCCAGACCCATTGTGTGTTGTCCAGGTAAATAAATCTATTTACTACACATTGTTCGACTATATTTTTAGAATATTAGTAATATTGTAATTTTAATGTAAGGTGTGTTTGGAAGGTGAAATATCCAAACAAACAGTTTTAAATAGCTTGAGCAGAGGTCAACAACCAAGTGGAGATTTGATTCCTTGGTTAATTTCACAGCAGGTTTTTATGATCTTTAAATGTCTATCGATTTTATTTAGTGTGAATAAATATTATACTAATTTCGTTGCGTAATAATCAGTTTCAAGATGATGATTTTGCGAACTTATCGGGAGCTCGTATAGTTAGAATAGCAACACATCCGGACTACATAAAGGTATTATTGCTAATAGATTCTATTTACACATTTATTTTAACTAATATATAATGTTAAAATAAATTTATAGATGGGATATGGATCTCGATGTCTAGAATTACTTACCTCATTCTATCAAGGCGAATTTTCTGCATTGAATGAAAATGAGGATTATCATCAAGAGAATATAGTTCGAGTTGATGATGCTGAATTAGAAGTAAGTACAAGTTATCTTAGAACAGATGTATAAAAGAAACTTGTGTTGACTTATTAATTTACTAGAATGCCGATCTTCGTAATGAGGAAATTAAAATTCGAGACCCTCGTAAAATGCCTCCTTTACTTTTAAAACTCTCAGAGAAACGTCCAGTAAGATTACATTATTTGGGTGTTTCATTTGGTTTAACTTCTCCATTGCACAAATTTTGGAAACGTGCAGGATTTATTCCTCTTTATATTCGACAAACTCCTAATAGTTTAACAGGAGAAAATACATGCGTTATGCTCAAGGCTTTGAAATCTGATGATCTTGTTACTACATGTGATCCTGAATGGTTGGCAGCATTTTCAAAAGATTTTCGTAGGAGGTTCTTGAGTTTGTTGTCATATAGTTTTCGCAATTTTCCGAGTGTTTTATCACTTAGTATTATGGAAGCAGTTGATGCCGGAAATGAAAGGGCAAAAGAAATAACACAGCGTATGTAATTTATATATGTGGATGTAAATATTATATATTTTTTAATATTCATATTTATTTTGTATTCAATTTAGCGTTTAGCAAATCCGCTCTTGAATCGTATTTGTCTGTTTATGACTTGAAACGACTTGAGTCATATTCTAATAATATGTTAGATTATCATGTCATTATTGATTTACTCCCAACCATAGCATATTTATACTTTAACAGACAATTGAGAGATGTAAAATTATCCGGAATTCAAAGTTCGATATTGTTGGGTATAGGATTACAAAGGAAAAGTGTTGATGACATAGAGGTAACATATTTGTTTATTGTGCATGAATTTATTTCATTTACATTACATGAATAAAAATCTAACACTAATTTATTTAAATTATAGAAAGAATTAACATTGCCCTCAAATCAAATCCTTGCTTTATTCATTAAAATAGTTCGTAAATTTTCTACGTATTTTCGATCATTAGAAACAGAAGCAATACAAAAAGAAATTCCAGATGAAACAACAGTTTTAAAGAAAAAAAAAGGAGTGGAAAAAATTTCTAATCAACAAATTAATGATAATGAAGAATCAACAATATCAAATCTTAATGAAAATGAAGAAACATCATGGGATCCTGTATCTAAGACATTAGATGAAGATTTAGATGAAGCTGGTGAAGAATTTAAAAGTCAAATGATTGAGACTCAAAGAGAATTAATTAATTCATTGGACCTATCAAAGTGATTATTTACTAAAGTGACATCTTTTAATTATTGAAAGAGATATTAATAAATTCAATTATATGTTATATTTAGGTATGCAATAAGCGGCACATCAGAGAACTGGGAAGAAGCACAATCAAAAATTGCTTCAGGAAAGCAAAACATTTCAACGATCGTTAGTATAAAAAACTCGGAATCTACGAAAAAACGTAGAGCGACGGAGACTGCCGCAGATATTGTAAATAAGGAACATAAAATGTCAAAAAGAGGAGGAAAAAAATCAAAAAAATCAAAGAAATAATGAAATTTATTATTATTATATATTAGTTAATTTAGTTAATTAAAATATAACAGATAACGAATAATTAAAAAATTGAATACCAATTCCAATTTCATAATATAGACCTATATTCATTCTGCTTTTTTAATTTACAGTATCAGTAATATAGTGAGTATTGCTAAATATCACTGCTGCTGGTGATTGTCGTCACCTTACCAGAATTAGAGTAGAATTTGGGAATTAAAATGTCATCCCGTTAATATTTGCTAATGCTGGTGCGGTGAAATCCCCTGTGGTGAGATTTAGCAATGCCCATTTCGGCCAAAAATATTCATAAAATGGCTGAAATGTGTTTATTTACGGATTGACGGATCGCAGCTCTAGTTGTAATGAAGACAATCACATACCCATGTGATTTAAGTCTATAAATTTTTTTTTTTTGGAATATCTATCAATACATAATATAATAAAAAAAAATTGTCTTCAAAAATATGAATTTCATCCGGATCGGATGAAAAATAAATCCGTTTTTATTTTCTCTTTTTTTTTTTATATTAAATAGTAATTTTTAAACTACTAGATTGTGCATTGGCCATTGGGATGCAGTCTTATAGTATATAAGAAAGAAATTTAACATTTATTAATTAAAATCCGTGTATAATTGCCAAAATGTGCCCTTTCGAATTAACGATAAATGTGATATATGCTATAGTAAATGTAGTTTATGCTTTGCTACATTTAAATACTTTAATTTTGTATTCTAGATTTTACCATACGCAATAAAATATTAAAATCACACAAAAATCATCAAATTGGCTTGTTTAATGTCAATGATTTATTTGTCTATTTCTTCTGCGCCCGCAAATTTTAAATATTATAGGATCGAATCTAATCCAAATCTCGATCCGATCCGTGTGGAACACTACTACTGAATAATCATGTATCTTTATTCACGTGGGTGAAAATATATTAGATCACATGATTCGTATTTAAAAATTAAGAATAGATCAAAACTGAGGTTGAATATCTCATTTTTATTGCAACTTGATCAAATTCTAGTTTCAAATCTGTCGATTGTTATTATTATCGTCATGAAGAATGTTAATGATAATGTTTCAATAAATAATGAAACTAAAAATGGCTCTAATGCATTGATTAATATTATCACTAAACCGGATAATGTTGAAGAGGTTGCATCCCTTTTAGAGTCATACTTCGAAGGAATCACTAGTCAAAACACAACAACTCAAACAAATGATTCACAAGTTTATCAGAAATCAACCGTCGTAAATACACCTATCGAAAATGAACCAATTGAGTTTACATTACAAGAAGATCTCGCTCTAAATGGCCGTAACTTTGAAAACGAGTTAGCAGTTGAGGAGGAACCAATAGATTCTAATTCAATATCTGAATGGTCTCTTAATGTAGGGGAACCAACGGAGTTAATTGTTGTGAAACAATTTGCTGAATCATTTGCAGCCGCGTTTGAAAATGAAATTGCAGAAATAACAAACACTCCTTCGAGTTCGAAGAAACTCACAAAAACTCAATATCGCGAAATCGCAGAAAAATGCAGGCAAGTATAAATGAATCTACGTTTTTATAGGCATATATTTAATTAACTATGATTACTAAACACTTTATTAATATAATGTAGCGTTCAAGAATGTTTAAAATTATCTAGTCAATTCTTTGCAGACCCAACTTTATTTAGTCTTCTTCGGCAATATTATTCAATTGATGGTAACAAAGCGCAGAATGGAGCGAATTCTGGTTCTATTACTTTACCTCTATCAAGTACAGGAGATACCGAAAGAAATACATCTCAGAAAAAAAACAAGAGCGGAGGTGTTGTAAGCCATTCTCGGTCATCGACAAGAAAAAGAAAGGCAGTTTCTGACGAGTGCAATGTACAAGGAAAAGGCGGACAAGAATCACCTCAAAGTAATAAACGGATTAAATGCCAAAATTGGAAGGATGCTACACAAGATTGTTCCAATAGTGCCGCATCTTCGTCACAGTCTGGAATTTCAAATACTATTGTTCCAGTAGTACCAATTTCTGCTATCACTGCTGCTGCATCCAGCTCAAAAGGTACAAAAACCCGCAAAGATATTGATTCAAGTGAAAGACCAGAACCATCAGCCATGGAAAAGAGGTTTTGGGAAATGGCAGCTTTATTAGATAATTCTCCTTTGGCTAGTTTAAAGTAGGTGTAAATTCACTTGTTATAGAGATTTTGAATGCTTCAATAATATTCAATTTTATTGTTATTTAAATGAAGTCCGAAATATCGAGCTTCGGCGCCAGCCAAGAAACGCAACGATTTGAATTATGTTTCCTCAATAACAAGTGTATGTATGTTGTTTTACTTATTAAATAAATCTTATTTTAATTATTAAATTGTTTTCTTGTAAACATAAATTTAGAAGAAGTCCGATACTATTAAGGAAATTGATACTAGTGGTATTCCTGAAGTTGTCCTATCCGTAGCATTTTATAATCAAAGTAATCCTTTAAACCGTTCACAGAACAACCCTCCAAGCCGTACCCAAGAATTCTTAGTTCTTGGAAGCCAACCACTAACAGCACTGAGAGATGCTTTTTATTGTGTTAGTGACTTTTATAAACAGGAAATTTCTGAATTACCTGCATCAGTAAATGCTTTGAATTCACCTGAAGAGAAAAAATCAGGTGGTTATTTCTTCATTGAAGACGTGTTTTACAATGATTGCAGAGATAAAAATGCATTGGACTATAGCAAGTATGTATTTTATATTAATGATTTTATCATTTAATCATTTTTATAAAAATTTCGATTTAAAATTTCTCGATTGATAGGACAATTGTTGAATGGGTAAATAAAAATGAGCGTTACACTCATCCAGGACTTGGATTGTATCAAAGAAAAAATATGGACGAAGTAACATTTAGTGACCTTTCGATAAGGTTAAATCAACCTTATCTCTTTGTTCATAAAGGAGATTGTGAACATGCCATAGTATTCACAGATTTGAGGTATGTATTTGTATAACTGTTTTCGTGTAATTATATTTATAAGCAGATCTACCATAACTCTTATATTGGTAGATTATGGCATACAGCTGATGGTCTTGATGCAAACATGTTCCCAAAGGCAATATTTAAATGTAGGATTATCCGTCATAAATGTCGCATGTGTATTACACGGCCCGCAACGTTAGTATATTATGCCTTTTTTGTTAATTTTGTAAAGTCTCTAATAATATTTTCATAATCTATAGACTTGTATCAATTAATGATTTTATGGCTGGAGAGACTCCAGCCTATTTTTGTGACAAATGCTATAATGAGTATCATTATGATAGCAATTCGAACCTATTGTACGATAATTTTAAGGTAATATATACATATATTGTTTTTATTTTTAAGATTTCTATATTGTGTTATTCATTTAAAATATTTAAAACAGGTATTTCGCTATGCTCATGACTGAGATTAGAACATTAGATTTGAGAACTTTGGGGTCTCTCGATTTTCTGCTTCTTTGAAAACGTTCCATAAGCATAGTATAAACATTGATAAAGTCAATCATTTAAACCATCCTCTGTTACAACCTCCGGACAAAGCTGGCAGGTCTCGAACATAAATGATAAATCTGTCAAAAGTGTGCAATAAAATTTATTAAAAATGTAATGTTAAAATAAACGACCAAATTATTGTAGGTATAATGTTTTTATTAATGGATATATTAAAAATATTTTTCTAATTTATTTTGCTTACTCTCTGTTTTTCTTTATTTAATTTATTAAAAAAAGTGTAAATTAACATTTTACATGTTATTTATAAGCATTTTTAAATCTTTAAGTAAACGTTTTTATTAATATTAAAATTTTATTTGTTTCTTTGTTTCAAATAAATTTGTTTATCTAGACTTAACTAAAAAGTTGATATTATTAATATTAATATAGTCAAATCTTTATATTGTATTATAACCTACACCCTGACACCCCTTACATTTTCTTTATTTCTTATTATTTCCATTATTATTATTTTTTGGAATATGTTCTAACTCATTATTTCTTTAATGATCATTACTATTCTCTTTATTGATAGTTTAGTCCTTTTGAAGTAATTCTTGCTGTTTTTTGTCTATAAATGTTTGAAGTAATCCATTTAATTCATTGTAACAATTTAATTTTTAAAAACTTTTTTTGCAATTTCTAAAGACCTTCCATATTTTGCTTTAATTGAAACTATATTCTTAATCAAAAGAAACTTACCCGATCTGATAAAATCCAAAGGGAAAACCTACAAAAAAAAGTAAAGAACTGAAACGGTTAGTTTGTTTCTTTAATAAAAAAAATAAGTTTTGAAAATTCAAAATTTGTCCACCCATCCAATAAAGTCTGAAGGGGGAAATCTATAAAAAAAAGAAGAAACAATTAGTTTAATGTTTCTTCAATAAAAAAAATTAAAGTTTCAAAATATATTTGAAACTTACCCCAGTTCATTCAATATTCTTTTATATCTTAAGAAGTAAGATCATACAATTGTTATAAAAACTAAGAATCAGAAGAAATATGCAACAGTTACTGTATCTATTGATTTTAATAAGTGAGTAATAGAATTATAGAATCAAGAAATTTGAACTACTTCTTTAAGAAATCTTCCTATCTGATAGTATTCAGTTAACTGGAATTTTTAATAATAAAAGAAATGAAAATGATTTTAGGTTGTGGTTAAAAATATATTTAGAACTATAACTACTTTAATATTATATCCTGATGACTCTTTCCAATTATTTATCTTACATATATAATGCAAAACTTTTAAGGTAGTTCAAGAGAGTAAAGCTAAGTATATGCATTTACACTATATCATATAGAATATTTCTCAAGACCACCATTAATGCAACAGGTTTTAATCAATGGTAAAGAAGAAGAGGTTAATTTATCTTCAGTTTCAGCTTTGAAATATAAGCAATTTCAATAAATCTTTATCAAATTTTTAGACTTAACCTTATAGCCCATCTGTCCCATCTACTATAATATACTTTTTTTGACTTTATTTAGATAAGACAAATAGTTATAGAGTTAAGTGAAGATGTTAAATGAAGTACAGTAATATTTGGCAATATGTAATATAAGGGTGTAAAATGTAAACTATACTCAGATAATATTTAGCATATTGGTCCACTTCAAATCACATATTTAACCATCATGTTATTTATCACTTAAATATAGCATTACATTACATGTAGTATTTCACTTAACAGAATACTATAGAAAGAAGTATAATCAAGTTAGCATGATGAATAAAGTATGGACCCTATGTAATAGTTTACTCAAGTGATAAATAATATGATAGGCCAAACATATGATTTAGAGTGGACCAAGATGCTATTTATTGTCTAAGTATAATGATAATTTACACCACTTATGTTATACTTACTTTACTTTAGTAATTTTTACTATTTCTAATTGAAGCAGATAACTATTTGATTTTTATAAATACTAGGTTTATGATAGCTAATGAATTCTTCTTTTAACTTACCATTAACATAAAAATATAAAATGTTCTGTAGTATACATGCTGTTGGAATGCCATAATTATAATTTAGGATGCCATAATTCATTCAGTTTATATGTAATTTACTATGTAAAGTGCCAAAATAATTTGAGATGCTGTAATTGAATTTGGGATTTTATTTATAATTATGGCAGTCCAAATAATTGGACAACATGTATAATGTTCTGGTTATTCCTATCCAAATGATGCATAATCATATTTGAAATATTAAGAGGTTTTAGAAAAATTATAAAATACCAAAAAGGTTAACTTTAGATAATGCAAAAAAAAATTGCCAGATAACAATAAGGGAAAATGTCTTTCCAGAATTTATATAAATAGTTCATTACACTTAGAATGGTGTTGTACTAAAGTCATGGCATCCATATTGTGCAGATCTGCAGGAAAAATTCATCAAACTCTTAAAACTGCTAAAATGATTGCGTTTAATAAAGGTGGTGATTAATTCAGTGTATGAAATTCAAGTCAAATACTTTTTGTGCAATGCGCAATAAAAAGTCACATGCAATTTGCGCACCTTATACTGTATCTGCAAAATCTTAGTTTTTAAATACAGTTCACCCTCGCTATAGTGAATTTTTATATAGTGAATAATTTGCTATAGTAAAGAAAAGCTCAGGTACGGATTTTCTATATAAATAATAATTCTTAATACAGTTCACCTTCGCTATAGCGAATCCCTTACTATAGTTANTAAATTATATGTAAATATTTTATAAATAAATAATAATAGAATTGAATGAATAACATACTATGACTTACCAACTAAAATAAATTACAAAATAATTTTTTTAAATAAAGAAATTGGTTAGTTTAAATTATACAGTTCACCCTCGCTATAGTGAATTTTTATATAGTGAATAATTTTCTATAGTAAAGAAAAGCTCAGGTACGGATTTTCTATATAAATAATAATTCTTAATACAGTTCACCTTCGCTATAGCGAATCCCTTACTATAGTTAATCTTAACCTTCAGCCCATGAGCTTCACTATAGCGAGGGTGAACTGTATAAAATTTTATAATTATAAATTGTGCTATATGCAAACTATAATTTGTGGAAATTAAAAAGTAGGTTGCGCTCTGCAAATTTCGCAAATATTTCAATAAATATATTAACAGTAAATCCCATTTGCAATGGAAATGTGTCAGAAATCATGAATGTAATGCAACACTTGATAGTATAGTATAAAACTCAAAATTCATGGTGTCCATATTGCGCAGGATAAGCTAAGAATACGCTAAGATGGTTGCAATTAATAAGGGCGGAGATTGTATTTCAAATGAATATATTAATGGTTCATCTCATTTGTGGTGGAAAGGTCATGAATACTTGAAAATGTAAAAAATCGAGATTCATGGTGCCCCATATGTGCTGGATGTAATCGGACCATTGAGGATATGCAAAATTTGGCATAGAAACGCAATGGGAACTGTCTTTCGGATAGTTATAAAGATGCGCATTCTAAATTAGTATGGAATTGCTCTAAAGGACATATATGAAATGCCACATTTGCTAATGTAAAATATCAAGGCTCATGGTTCCTTTTTGTCAAAATAAACGTGAAAGTATGCCGTGAAATTGTAACTAACTATTCAGTGGACCACCATCAGAAAATTGCTGGCCGGGTTTCTTAAAAACATCTAAGAGGGTTACAACTTGATATATTTTATCCAGAATATGGTTTCGCGATCGAAATGCAAGGAGAACAGCACGAAAAATTAGAATTCTTTCATAGAGGCGATCCTAATAATTTTATCAAACAGCAAGCTGGGGATCAACTCAAGAAAGATTGCCTTTGAAGTATGTTTGGTATTACGAAGACCCATCTTCGAGAATTGGGTCTTATTGAGTAAACTCAAAACTTCAAATGCTTTTGCAATTCGTTATTATTTTTTCGAATATAATTTTATTCATCTGGAATTACACGAAAAATCTTTCTCAGACACACAAAACACAACAAATTATTATGAGCAAAGTCTGATAATCGTCTGCGCAAATTAAGGTGGCTTAGTTTGAAACTTTTCTGTCGCACAGGGTCTATTGTATGACGGCAACTGATGTGATTTTATGATTATTATTTTTTTCATAAAAGAACGATAGTTTTTCTTCTTGCTCTTCTAATAGTCTTCTATTATGACTGAAACAGCGGGTCAATTACTAGGTCACGTCGGTCCAGTTTGCCAATGGATCCCGCAAAATTCACCCAATCCATCTTCAACAATAAGTATGGACAAATATATATTTCTAACAATAAAAATACGTAATTTTGCATGAGAAAGATTTTCTAAGGTTGTAAAGGCGGGTTTTTCGGGTAGGTTTCGTAAAATAGCTGCTTACCCACAGTTTCCAGACAACGTGAAGGAATGGATCGGATTCATGCGAAATGTCAAACTTACTGCTGCTGGTACGCAAACTCCCCTTCCAGGAGGACAATTCCCCATTGGATTCACAAGTGCAGTACCTCTCAGAGTCGAAGACGAGACAAAGCTCGTTTAGGAAGTAATGTTTTATTGCCTGTCGAAGCGTTATTAATACCACAAGGAGCATTTGTTGCAGCACCTGCCGGATTTTTAGGTGCTTCTGACTATGTTTTATGCACTAATAATTACACAGTGGCCAAGATGCCGGTGGAAATGAAAACGCGCCACAATCTTAATTTATGCGGTTATCATTTCTGGCAAATTTATCGATATAACGACCGGCGTGGAATAATGAATCCAAATTTTAGTGACCAGCGTCGAAGATTCGATCCAAATTTTAGATTTAAGAAACGTATCCTATCGCAGATATTTAGTGAAATGGCCTGTAATGGCCTCCATTATGGCATTTTATCAAATTATAGCGATACGTACTTTCTTAAGCGAGAAGAAACAACTCCAAACACCCTGTATGTTTCCCGTGTTGTTCGACCCACTGATACTGAACCAACTTTACGCCAATGCGTTTACTATATCAGCCAACTTGCCATTAATGATAATGTCGGTAATAGATTGGGACGTGTAGTGCTTGACAGTTATTCATCTAATGACGATGACGATGATGATGATGATGATGATGATGATGATGATGACGACTCTGATTATGACGACCCTGATGATCCTTATGACCCTGATTACTCTGATGACAATTCTAGTGATGATTATGATGATGATTCTTCGGGGAAGAGGAAGAGAAAACAGATTCCATCAGCAAAGACTAGTAGTAAAAAAAGTAAAAAAACAATTGCCAGTTCATCCAAGGTAATCGCTACTGTAGATGAATATATAGGTGGCGGGTCTTTCGGAAAAATTTTTTCTGGATATTATGATAATCAAGCTGTGGCATGGAAGACATGTGACGCATATAAGGAGCAAGAAGAGATGAAAACGCTAAAACACGAAGCTCATATATATTCTATTTTGAAAGAATGTCAAGGTACAATTTTTTTTCATTCATAATATTTTCAAACATTATTAACTCATCTATTGCAATATTGATATTAGGTCGTGTTGTTCCATGTTTGTTCTACAAAGGTTACATTTATGACGGATATCTTTTTGCATTAGCGTTGCAATTAATTGAGGACTCCCGTCATATTGATCCGACAAGACTCACAAAAAAGGAAAAAAAATTAATAGTCAATCAACTCAGGGCAATACATAATTTTGGCGTCTTACACAATGATATTTCTGCGAGTAATATACTATATGAGCCAAAAAGTCGCAATTACTTTTTTATTGATTTTGGCCTAAGTGAGATCGTGGATAATGAATCACCAAAATTGCGCAAGGAAGAAAAGAGATTAAAAAATTTTTTACAACTTTAACCATCTGGATGTATAGGACTATACCGCATTATCGCACTAGATGAAGAATAAATAAATTTTTATTACTGCAAGCTACAATGTATATATAACTTTCATCTTAAATCATAAAATGTAATAAACCATGAAATAAATCATATATTTTCACAACTTATTTTTCCAATGCATATTTATTAAATATTAAAAGTGAGTTAGAAAAGAAACATATGATGCTATCAAAGAGGGAGTAAAATCTGTAAAGTAATACATGAGAAAAATTTAAGACGATGTATAGTGGGAGACATCAATATGTTTCAAATTAAAAAATTTAAAAATCCGTCTCTGTAATTCTGGCTGAAATTATTAATTTTAGCTAGAATTAAGATTCTTATTTTATGACTTTATTAGAATTAAGCTTATATTCCAGCCAAAATTATATGACTGACCAGAATTATATGTTTCAGTTCTGAAAATTAGGCCGCTCCAAGCCAATTCTTTGTTTAACATAACATAGGGGTCCCAATCTAGGGAACGTACGCACTGGCCGGAAGTTAAGTTTAACGTTATCACGTGTAAGTGCATAACTCCCAATCTTGGGCCAGTGCGTACGTTAATATCGTACATATGATGCGTACGTTAAGGAACCACTAATCTAATTTTGGTCAAAATTTTGACCAAAAGAGTGAGCAAAAATTTTGGATGATAATTCCGGCCAAGACTTAAAGATTTGTCTAATTGGCCTAAATTACATGTATTTTTTTTACATAAAAAATCCAAAAACAGGGGGGTTATGTTACGGCCTTATATATAAAATACCTAATTTTACAGGTTAATAACTTTTGATTTAGATAACCAAATAACCTCAACGTCATTTATTAAATTACGTTGAAATATGTTTTAAAAATATATTTACTCAAAAAAATTTTTTAATTTATTTGATGAATTGTTGTGTCCCAAACCGTACGCCGCGCCAACTGCGCGGATCCAATTTCCATCAATGAATTCATTTCGAAATGATACCATGATACCATAGAAAAAAGATTTTATTCAAAGTAGTATTAACCCGAGGCCTTAGGATAGATAAATTTCGTAATTACATTTTTGTTCAATACCAATTTGTGGAATCAGGTACACGATCACGTGCTTAGAAAGCTTATCACGTTAAAAAGTTTTAAGTTTACAGTTTACACTTCTTTTTGAGCAAAAAAATTAAACAATGCATAAATTACAATATGAATATACTGGCATACGAAGCAACGGGGAGAAAAAATATGCCATATTAGATCCTTCAAAAAAATATTCAGTAATTTCATTGAACAGATTAATAAAAGATGGTATAGATATAAATAATTTATCATTAAAGTCGATTTTTTTACCCGAAGAAACGAAAGTTGTAGTTAAAGTAGAATTAAATCTTTTAATTGGAAAAGAAAGAATTGAAGAGGAAATTTTGGTTAATCTTTCAGAAGAGTCAAAAGAAGAATTTTACCTGGGAAATGATTTTTTATCATCTTATTCAATAGAGAAAATAGGCAATTCAACAACAAAATATTATGAAATAGAAACAAACAAAAATTTTTATTTTTCTGTAGAAGAATGTGAGAAATCCCCTAAAAAATTGTTAAATTTTTTTACTATTTCTTTGATTATTGCAGTTTTTGCAGTAATTATATTCAATTATCAATTTATTACGGATTTATTATTGCCTTCAGTAAATGATGAAAAAGGTATTATGCTACTGACTAGGCAGTCCTCTAATTTTAATTTTAGTGAATTTATAATGAATGCTGAGGAATTAGGGCATGAAATAGATTCATTTAAATTGCCATGTAAGTTTTTTGTAACAAAATAAATTACTTTAATTAAACTTATATAACTTATAATATTTTTCTCTTTTTTTTGAAAAAAAAAAAAAAAAATCTTAGCAAAAGAAATGATGAAACAAAATATTAAAAATTGTTATAGTTTGGCTAATAAATTTGACCAAATTATGGTAATTCGTAACACCATACCTCAATTAAAGAAAAATCTTAATGATTTTGCCTCAAGTTTGGAAATCGCAGAAAATTCCTATGTGAAAATATATGGTGATGGACTTTGGCTTTTTTTGGTATTTGAGAAATGTATTAAAAACATTTTGGATTATATCTCAAATAAGTCACTTATGACATACATTCACCGCACAATAGATTATAATGAAGAAAAAAATCTTTCACGATCTATTGATGTTTTAATTGAAGCTTTAAAGACCTTTTGTTCTTCAGTAAAAGAAGCTCGCGAAGCTACATTAAAAGCGGAATCATATAGTACTGATACTCATAAACAAGTTATTGAAGCAAGATCTGTTCTTAAAGGTAATCTTAGTACTTGGAATAAAATTAGTAACTATGTTAATTCAATAATTGATAAAACTGGAGGGGATAGTTTAATTATTGATGATAAAATAGCAAATATAAAAAATACCTCTGATGATTTGAAAGGAATTGCGAAAGGTTTATTAAATTTTAAGGAAAATTTGGAAAAGTATTCAAACGTGTTTCATAATTTATTAGCTAATACGGGATCTTTAAAACGGCTCGAATGGAATGAACATGAAGTTAATAAAACTACAGAGCTTCTGAATATGATCAAAAAGAATCACGAAAATTATAGGTCAAAGTCAAATCATTAATACGTTTGTGATGCCTGATATTGATAAATATGAACATTGTTAATAGTAGAAAAGATATTTTTTTGCTTCTTTATTTTATATTTTTGTAGTTTTTTCCTAAATAAAATATAAAATATTTTATCCCGTGACCGAAATTTTATAATTTATTGATTGGTCTGCAAAATATGCCGATCATTTATATCATTTGTTCGTTATAATTCTATTTTTTTTGTTCAATAAAGGAATAAAAACTGACGAGAGAGAAGAAATTCCTGAGAGAAGAAATTCCTGATATGATGGATGGAGATAATGAAATGGCTGAAGAATTTCCTGATATGATGAATGGTTATAACATATTTGAGGAAGAAATCCCTAATATTAGAATTCCTGGTATAGCGAACGAAAATGGCGTTTCTAGAAACCTTATCAACAATCGATGGTTTATTCCTTTAATTATTGCCATTTCCGCAGTAATTATATTCAATAATCATTATTTTTCGTCCGAGAATTCCTTTGAATTCGTCGATTTTGACGAATTTGTAATATATTATGAAAAATTAAAATCCGAATTCGACCCATTTAAATTAACATGTAAGTTTATATATATATAAAATCAATTTTTACTATCTATAATTTAACCTTTTAAATCAAAATTATTATAGACTGTAATAATAGTGGACAACAAAATCAATCTGTAATAGAACTTAAACTTAATAAGTTTTGTGAGACAATGGAAATTACTAAATCTTCATATGCAAAGATGTATAGTGATGGAGTTTGGTTTTTTTGGGAAATCGAACAATGTATTAGTAGTATCTTGAATCATATTTCAAAAAAATCAATTCTTTCATTTTTTATAAATAATAATGAAAGAAAAAATTCTTTTTCAAATAATGTTCAAGAATCAATTAAATCTTTAGAAACCTTCAGTTCTTCAATAGAAAAGTCTTATGAAATTACGTCAATAGCAGAATCAGTTCGTAATAGTGCTCATAAGCGAGTCATTAAAGCAAAAAATGATGAACTAAAACTTATTCTCAACTGTAATAATAAAAGTCATTGGAAGAAATTTCGGGATTACATTTATTCAATGTTTGATAAAAGAGATGGCTTAAAATGTGATACTCAGAAAGGAGATTTGTTAGAACATTTAGATAATGATTTAGTGAGGATTGCAAAAATTTTACTAAATTTTAAAGGGAATTTGAAAATTCATTCCGATGTATTACGTAAACTTTCAGATAATATAGAATATTTAAAACATCTCAAATTGAACAATCTTGAAATCCAAAAAATTAATAATATTAGAAAACTTTTGAGTATGATTAAAGAGAATCATAAAAAATTCAATAAATAATAAAGTGGACCAATAAATATTCCGGTAGTGTTGAAATATTGCCAAACATCAGGATGCTGCTTTTCAGCTCGAATCATATAATTAATTTATTTTTTTTTATTTTTGAACTAGGTGAAATTCATACAATGTGTTTATTTTTTTATTATATAATAATACAGACCATATTTTCGCGTCAAACATTTGACGATCCTACGTCAGGTGAACAAAATGATCGGCAATGGTTAAATAAGGGGCCTTCTGAATAAATTATTTTAAATCAAAAGAAATAAAATATAATGCACCAAGACAATATTCCCCGAGATGGCGGTATTCAAGAAAATAACAACGAAAGAAGAAATGGTTATAACCTTAATCGACGGCATTATTATGCTATTTCTTTAATTTTTGTCATTTTGGCAGTTACGTATCAATTTTCACCAACATCTGAGACGATTGTATTCACTTTTGAAGAATTTATTAAATACGCTGAGAAATTTGGTTATGCTTTCGATATATTTAAATTACCATGTAAGTTTTGTAATAAATTATTTAGTGTGATTATTCTATAGTTTACTTATAATTTTCTTTTTTTTATTACAAATATAAGCAAACGAAGAAATAAACCAAAATATTGTAAATTGTACTAGTTTAGCTCTTAGAATTGAACAGAGTGTAGCATTTAATGATACTGGACCTGAATTAGTAATGAATCTTAATGATTTTAGCTCGAAATTGGAAATTGCGAAATCTTCTTATACAAAAATGTATAGTGACGGAGCTTGGTTTATTTGGAATTTTGAGCAATTTATTAATTACACCTTAAATTACGTTTCAAATGATTCATTTATGTCAACCATTACCCGCAGATTGGATCCCAATCTTCAAAATTCTATTAAGGGATCAATAGAAGCTTTAGACAATTTTCTTTCTTCCGTAGAAGAAGCTTACGAAGCTACATCAACGGCAGAATCATTTCGTAGTGGTACTCATAAACAAGTCATTAAGGCAAAAGATGAAGTACAAAGATTTATTGAAAATATCAATAACCCAAGTTATTCGAAACGAATTCGTGATCTCATTGATTCGGTAACTGATACTACAAAAGTGAATGCTTTAAAAGTTGATAATAAAATAGCCACAGAAATCGAATCTTTCTTAACGTATTTAGATGATGATTTAAATAGGGTTAAGAGTATTTTATTAAAATTTAAAGAAAATCTGGGAAAACACAAAAATTTTCTACGTCAACTTGAAGCTGGCATAGAACCTATAAAACAACTCAAATGGAACGAACATGAGATCAATCAAGTTAGAGAATTATTAAATATGATAAAAGAAAATCATAAAAACTTTAAATCAAGAGTAAATCAATAATATGTGTATCAATAATCTGTTTTTTTTTTTAATTAAAGAAAAATTTCTTATTTCTGTCCAAAATTTTTGGGCGGAGTTATTCAGTGCTTAGTTTATGCACCTGCACGTGATAAAGTACGTCAACATCTGTACCCCATATAGGTGCACAAATACTGGTTACGCGTTCGTCTCTTTCTCTTTCTTCTAATTGTTCTTAACAAGTTTCGCGTTTTTAAATTATATATTTCCAATTCACTGGATGGCCTAAATAATATAAATGTTTTCGTCTTAATCATTCCTTATTGAAAAGTTTTCGTTTAGTTGTTTTTTTATAAAAAAAATTTAATACAATGCAGATTAAACAAAAAAAATATAAAGTTCAATATGAATACGTTAGCAAAGATAATTTCAATGAAAAGAAAAAATATGTAATATTAGATCCTTCAAAAAATCATTCAATAATTTCATTAAATCGATTAAAGAATGATGGTATTGATACGAATAAAATTTCATTTAAACCAGTTTATTTAACTCAAGATGTGAAAATTTTAACTAAATTAGAATTAAATCTTTTAATTGGTAAAGAAAAAATTGAGAAAAAGATATCAATTATGATCTCAGAAGAATTGAATGATCAATTTTATTTAGGAAATGATTTTTTATCATCTTATTCAATAAGTGAAAATGATAATACAATAAGATATAATTTAATTCAAATAGGTCAAGAAATAGAAATAGAAGAAATTCTTGACGAAAATGATGATATTTTTGGAGAAGAAATTCAAGATATTATGAATGAAAATGATATTATCAACGAAGAAAATATTCCTATCAGAAATCAACAGCTTAAATTAAATTTTAAAAATATTTTTTTTATTATTATTTCTTTAATTATTGCCATGTTTGCAGTCAAATATCAATATATGTTGAATTTTAAATCACCAGCCACGGATTTGTCATCTACAGATTTATCACTTGAACAATTTGAATTTAATTTTGACGAATCAGAGAAATTAGAGGAAATAGAACAAGAAAGCAATTCATTTGAAATATTACGTAAGTTTTTTTTTCAAAATTAATTTATTTTATAACAAAATCCTCGAAGTAATTAGTTATTGTAATTTACTAGCTGTAGAATGTTTTAATACTATCTGTGACTGTCCAGAGTCAAAGGAGGAAACAAAGAAGAAAAATATTAAGAAAAAATCAACGAAGAGACCAACGAAACAATCAACGAAACAATCAACGAAACAATCAGAGAAGAAACTAACGAAGCAATCAACGAAGAGACCAACGAAACAATCAACGAAACAATCAGAGAAGAAACCAACGAAGCAATCAACGAAGAGATCAACGAAACAATCAAAGAAACCAACGAAGAGATCAACGAAGCGATCAATTAAGAGATCAATGAAGAATAAATCAAAGAAACAGGGGAGAATTTCGCAAATCATGAGAAAATTTATTCGATATATGTGATATATGTCAGATGAGAATAGAAGAATCTTACTTTAAATGGTAGATATTCGTTGTACAATTTTTTTTTTAAAAAAAAGCAAGTTGAAAATTTGTTTACGATAGTAATAATTCAAATTCAAGCATAATTATTTTTTATAATATTTAAAAGAATAAAAATAAATATACTTTTATTTAAAAGGGATTAGCCGCAGTAGCGGCAGCATATGATTGATCATCATATATAAAGAATTAATCTTTTCTGTTCTTTTATCAGAAAAACAAATGTCGTTATCTGACAAAACGTCAGGTATTTCTGAGTTGAATTCTTTACCGACTTTATTTCTTTTAGAAGGACCAAAATTCCCTTCTTTTGATTTTAAAATTTCACCATCAAATCAGTCGAAATCTTTTAAAATAAAAAATCAAACAATTTATTTATATCCTGATAATGATAATAATGAATTATTTATGAATGATGATGATCACGCTGTTAAAACTGCCAACAACGTTTGGGATGCTGTAAGATTTTTTTTTTTCACTTTGTTTTTTTCGTTCAAAGTTATTTATTTATTTTATTTATTTTAGAGTTTGATTCTCTCAAAATTTCTTGAAAAACAATGTAATGAAAATAAACTGGATTTTAAGGGGAAAAAAGTGATTGAACTGGTAAAAATCTGAATACTGAACCTTTTTTTGATAATTTTCTCTTTAAAAACTATATTATTATTTTTTTCAAGGGAGCAGGTAAATCTATACCATCACTCACATCATCCATCTTAGGTGCAAGCATGGTAACAATAACAGATGCACCAATTGTTATTCCTGAAATTGAAAAAATCATCAAATTAAATGGATTTGAAAATAATAATGTTTTAGCTAAACCATTAGATTGGGAAAATAGGTTAGAAAAGTTATATTTTTTACGTATTATTTGTATAAAAAAAAATAATTTAATTTCTCATTATTATTTTTAGAAAAGATTATATTCCATTTTTAATCGATAAAGGTCCGTGGGATTTTATCTTAGCTGCCGATGTAATTTGGGTAGATTATTTAATTGTACCTTTAGTTGATTCTATTGATGGTAAGTTAATGACCTTAAAATTGAAATTGATCTCATATATGTATATTATTTTTAAATAATTCATTTATGATTAATATATTAGAATTATCAACACCATCATATACAACCCTTTTACTTTGTCATCAATCAAGAACTACGAGATCAGACAATATGTTATTTGATACATTGAAAAAACGTGGTTGGAAAATCCAAAAAGTCTCAAGGGATGAATTAAATTTGGAAGAGGGATTTTGGAAAGATAATGTTGATATATATCAAGGACAAAAAGAACAAGAGTGATATTTAAAATTAAATATTGTATCCAAAATTTACGAACAAAAATCTTTGAAACAATAGTAAACACGTATATTAATGCACCAAATGCATTAAAACTAAGACTTAACGAGAATCAAATCAAAAAATAAAATAATTATTGTTGCAGAAGTGTATTGTCATTACCATTGTTTCATTACTGTATCATTATTTTTAAACAATTATCATTGTTATGCTATGAATCTCAATTCCTGAAACAAAATAAAGTTTAATCATTTGACGTGCAGAATTAACCATTAATCGAATTAAACCACTTACATTGGCTGAAACCATAGATCATGTGACATTATAATTTGAATGAAACCATTTTACGTTTGAATATTTAAAATATGATTGGATAACGGTATTTACGCAGTAATCACATAAAGCTTCATTGGTTATGCAAAAAACACATACTTTTGCATATTATTGTTATCTTTCGATTATTATTTAAATTTCATCGGAAAAGCTTTTGCTTATCGTTTTCTTTATATGCACATTGACGCAATATTTTTTTCATGTAGCAATTAATAACAGTAAATTTTAAATTGTTGCAGGCATAATCGTGCATTAATCCTGTGTTAAACATGAAATGATATCCCAAAAAACTTCAATTATATGCATTCTTTTGATAAAATTTCTTTTCGCCCAAATTCAATTTCAAATTCAAACATTTAAAATTAAAAATTAAAAATTTTCATAAATAATATATGCATATTATCTTTACTTGCTCTGACATTCATATGCCGCAAATCCGAAAACTTTCACAAATTCAAAGTAAAAAAAAAATGTCGATCATAAATGATTGCTGTTTAAATCATTAAAATAATTTAGCAACTCGTCAACTGTCATGTTACCCAATATTTCTCCATCTCGTCGTCGAACGTTTATAGTTTTCTCTTATACACATCTAGATGTGTATAAGAGACAGCTCGTCAACTGTCATGTTACCCAATATTTCTCCATCTCGTCGTCGAACGTTTATAGTTTGTGTGTTTCTTTCTTTTTCTCCAACTAATATTATGAAATTGTATTGTGATAATTGAGCGGTTTTAATCATCTTATTTAATGAATTTGTTGATCGATCAACATCTATAAAATAACTACATCGGGAATTTTCTGATTTTAAGTAATTGCAGATATATTCAGCATAATCAAGGAATTTTAATCCTCCAATTGGAATTATAATTGCCTGTCTTGGGCTCAGCCAGAAAGGCCATTTTCCACCTGTATGTTCTGTTAATATAGCCATGATACGCTCAACTGACCCCAAAATTGCACGATGAATAATTATTGGGGTTTGATCTGTTCCATTTTCATCACGATATTTCAGTTGAAATCTTTTAGGGAGTTGAAAATCAAGTTGAATAGTTGCTGTTTGATGCATGCGATGAAAAGCATCTTCAACCATAATATCTACTTTAGGTCCATAAAAAGCGGCATCTTCTGGATTGATGGTCCATTTCCGTCCAGTCATATCTAATGCTTTTTTGAGTGCATCCTCGGCGTAATCCCATTCTTTGATTTCGCCAATAAAATTTTTATTCGGCCTTGTTGACAAAAAGCTTTCATAGTTAGTAAATCCTAAATCTTTGTAAACACCGTCTATGAATGATAGAGTAGCGGATATTTCTTCAAAGATTTGCGATTCCCTACAAAAAATATGAGCGTCATCTTGGTGGAATTGACGAACTCTAGTGAGTCCAGAAAGTGAACCCGATGTTTCATTTCTGTATTTTATTTTAAATTATTAGCACACTGCATCATCATATAATCTTGTGATATCAAAGGAATTCATCAGTTATGCAAGATATGATTAAATAAAATAATTAAATTATATTAAAATGTACTAAACAGAAAATACCTGTGTAATGAGCCAAAATCTGCTAATCTTAATGGCAAATCACGAAAGGATTTTGGTGCACTATCAAATATCAAACAATGTCCCGGACAATTCATGGGTTTTAATCTATAAACATCGCTATTATCATTATGGTAATGTACTGTAAACATTTCATTTTGATAATTTTGCCAATGTCCCGAAGTTTCCCATAATTCTTTTTTGAATATCATTGGCGTCATTACTTCTTCGTAACCAAATTTTCTATATTTTACACGAATATAATTTTGTAATTTTTGAAATATTCGAGTGCCATGTGGAAGCATAAAGATAGATCCTGGACTCAAAGGATGAGTTAAAAAGAGTTTTTGAGATTTTCCTATTGTCCGGTGATCCAATTTATGTGCTAAATCTCGTTCTTGTTTCCAAGATTTAAGTTCTTGAGCATTAGGAAATGAAATTCCATAAATACGAATAATAGATTGTGGAGAAGTTTTGTTATTATCAATGTCAGGCGTCCAATAAACATTTGCACATTTTAACAAATCTATTGCTTTAATATATCCGGTGTGTGGAATATGAGGTCCACGACAAAGGTCGATAAATGGTCCACATTTATAAAGTGTAATTTGCTCATTTTCTGGTATTTTTGAGAGGTAATATAATTTGAACGGATTATTGGAAAAGATGTCATAAGCTATATTTTTCGTAACAACCAGATGTTCGAATGGGTAATTTTGTGAAACAAATTCATTCATAATTTTCAAAATTTCTTGCAATTCTTCTGAATTGAAAGGTTCCTTTCTAATTTCCGGTGATCTGATAAGTTGAGCAATTACTTCATGCAATCGACTTATTTTTGATATTTCTCCTCGTTCATTATCCAATTGTTCACTATGTTTCTTTAATAGAAGTTCATAAAAGAAGCCTCCCTGTTTAAGTGATGGCCCATCGCATAGTAAAATATCATCTCCATATTTTGTTTCTAGAGCTAAACCTAATACATGAGAAGTTGAATGCCAAAACACATCCTTGGTTGTAGAATCATTCAGTTCAAAAGGAAGAAGCTGCAAAGTACATGAATTGGTAAGAGGACGGTTCATATCGTAAAGTTCACGAGAATTAATAAGTGCCACTATAGAATTATTGGCAAGCTTACGTGAAATACCTAAAGTTTTTAAAGAAAAACTTAAGGTATAATAATATTATAAAGATAGGTGATAGATTTCCAACTTACCTTTTGCGCATTCTAATGGTGTTGTAACACCTGCGATTCCTTGTTTTATGGTTCCATCCATTAAAGTAATATTGATGGTATTTTGCGCTTTTATATTTAAACGATCCTCTTGTCTTTTCTTTTCGGCTTCCCAAATTAGCAATCGCTGGCGAATGTTGACGGTAGACATTTTTCGTATATTTATTATTCTGAAAAGTAAGTGATTCCGATTAGCGTAGTTGATCTGGAAACTACGTAGCATCTTTCTCAGATCGCCAAAATTTAACAGGTAGCTAAATCTAATGAAAAGACAAGCGCGTTTTTCAACAATATGATAATTTGTTACACGTGTTTTTTATGCATTTAAGTTTTTACAACTATAAACAAAAATAAATATTGGGACACACTATAAACGAAAAAATGGGCTATTGTCTTATGTGAATAAATATAGTTAATGCTTTAATATATATAAATATATAAATATTGTAATGACTACAAAGTGATCGATGACATGTGACTTTGTGGGCGGGTTTTGTCTAGCGATAATATATAAACCATACACCATTTTACCAGCTCGATATAGCTTCGCAAAACCTTAAAAAAAAAGGGATAGTTAAATAATTTATATAATTTGTTCATCCTAAGTTTCTAAAGTTTACATGAGTAATGACGCCCACAGCACCAGAAACCGAAACATATGACGATTTAATAAAACGAATACTGGAGTCAGACACGGACGATGACTTTTCTAAGCATCCACTGTCTTCAAATAGTGCTCCAGAAGGGCCATTACCACCAGAACTTGAAGCTGCCTTAGAAGATAATGTTCAAGCAGAAAAGTATTTAAGTAATTTAAAGAAAAGAATGGAAGCATGGAAAGCTGCGGGTTTAACTGACGCAATGAAAAGAGCCCTTGAGCTCCTACACGAAAATAATGGACTGACAAGCGGGAATAGCGAAGAAGACGAAGATACTGATGGAAGGTAAGGAAATCATAGATTTTTAAGGACACTTTAGATCTCTTTTTCTTTGACAAAATCGCTTTATTACACTTAATTCTAACTGATTTTTTTTTGATTTTTTTCGAATGAATTTAATTCCGATTCAATCTTAAATATATGTAGCAGTAATGATGAGCCAGCTACTCCAACGATCGATATACATGACATTCAACCACAGCCAAAAGTAGCTGAGGGTTCAATATCGCGTCTTGGTAAGAGTTGAAACTATTATTAGCAATTGATAATTCTGAATTCATTTCATTAATCTGGTTTACTTTATAGTGAACGGTGTCTCTTCATTGGTTGATATTGAAAATTCTTTCAATAAGCTCCGAATACCAGAACTGGATCTTCCTATTACTCAAGATAGTACAATAAAATCTGCGCTCACAGAATTATATAAACTTCAAGAAGATCTTCAAATACATTTACAAGGTGGACCATTGGCGGATCCATCAACTATGGGTGCACAGCGAAGAAAGAAAGTTGCTGATCTGCTGGAACGGGTCATGAAAGAAGCTGCTTTGTATGAGGAATTTGTAAATAAAGGTAATGATTTGATATTGTTATTTACAATGATATGTATTTTTATTTTAAATAATAATGAGCTATTTGATTCGATTTTAGCGCAACACCTTAGTCTAGATAGAATTTTGAATGAATCAGAAGGTTCTAGTGATGAAGAATGCATAGATTCTGAAACTATAGATACTGAATCTGAGATTCCTGGTTTTGAGGTATTTGTAGTTATTATAAGCTTTTTAAGTTCATAAAAGAAGTGGCCTTGCCTAATAAATGGTCCTTATAGGATTCATTATCGGATATATCTCGCAGGTCTGCAGCTACTCCATCAACAACTCCACTTTCGCCACGTTCTTTAAGAGCTCTTGATCCTAGTTTAGCACGATTACGCTCTACTTCTTCTGCGTCGATTCCTTCGATGCAATCTAGAGCATCATCTCGACTATCACGTTCATCATCTCCTTCAATATTAGGTCTTGAGGACTTAGGATTACTTGCCCCACCTGAACCATGGGAAGCTTTCCGGTGGTCCCCTATGGCAAAATTATCAGAACAATTATACTCAAATCAGCATGCAGGCTTGGCTACGGTGCTCGCTGTACGTATTACTTTCTTAAATTAAAATCTTGAGTCATTTCTCTAAATTCTTTTTATTTATTTTACTTATTATTTAATTTTTTTCAATAATATATGTATATATGTATATTATAGGTTAGTGGTGTTATTGCAGTCGGTACTATTCGTGGCTTAATTATGGTATATGATTTTTCACAAACATTAAAATGCGTTCTTGGAACTACAGTCAATGGTATTATAGTGAGAGTTTTCGTTATCAATAAATGTATTATTTTTAAATAAATAAAAGATTAATGTATTTTTCAATTATTAGCTTTTGAACAGCATGGTGCGGTTACCTCACTTGCTATTTCTTCTGATCACACTCAGATTGTCAGTGGTCATGCACAAGGATTTATATTAATATGGGATTTGCAAAGACCAATGAATCCAGTGCGTTCTATTTCACCAATTTCCCCGGCTGTTGCTGCAGGTGGCAGAAAAGAAGGACACATTCGTGGTTCATCAATTTTACATGTTGGGTTTGTCGGTATGAGAAAAAATGGAATAGTGTCGGGAGACGATCATGTATGTTGTAGTTATTCTTTTAATCACTATCTTTTATCTTTATGAATCCGAATAATGTTTATTTTTATTTTTTTTATTTTTAATAATTTTTCAAAAAGGGTATGGCATTTTACCATAACTTGTATAAGGTCATGTTGGTTAATGCTACAGAAACTACACGTATTCTTGGAAGTTATCCTACGCAGACATCTGCTTCTCAAGCTTCAGTACCTTCTAAACCGAGAAGACCGAGTACAGTATTTGGTTTATCACCTTTGCCTCTTGGTCAAACGCCTCATGGATCCGAAAGTTTTGGGCTTGTAGCAATGTTAACACCTTATAAGGTATTTATTTTATTGAATCTTTTGTATTAAGTTTATTTATCTATGTATTTATGTTTATGTTTTGTCTATCATTAATAGATGATTATAGTTAGTACTAAACCAACACCTCAAACCCAATATAAATATTTAAAACCCAAAAATGTTTCGACGGATTCATCCACGTCAAAATCAATTGCCGGATGCTTAGCATGGTTTCCTGCTGATAAGTTTCAGCTAAATGACGGTAACCCAACTAAATTTATTTAGGTCGTTTTTTTTTTTTTTTTACATTAAATTTTGATATTTTATTTTATTTATTTTGATTAAAAAAAAAAAAGATTCACCAACTGAATATACTGATCCTCTACTCGCATTCTCATGGGGTCATCATTTGACTATTTTAAAAGTAACTGCTGTGCCACTCTCTGCTGCCGAACTTTCAAAAAAAAGAAGACGCCCTGAACATGATGTTAGGCTAGAATTTACCAGAGTTGGTGATTGGAAATCTAGGAATGGCATAGTTGCGCTACAGTGGCTATCCTCTCAGGTGACTTTAATCATTATTTGATTTTATTTAATTATTTATAAAGACAGCATATCGCATGTTGATCATTCGATTGGATTTATATTCCTACGTAACTAAAACGTGTTATTACAGATATTGCTGATTTTGACAAATACCGAAGATATTGTTGTATTTGATCCAAAATCTTTGCATGATTTTGAGCAAAGCAATATTCGTCAAAGATCATTAGTATATCATGATAGGTTTTCCTCACTTTTAAAGGATATCACGGACGATTCAAATGTGCATGTAGATACATCAAGGACAACGGTTGATTTGGCTTACTATCACAGTATACGCGTATATAAAGGAAACGTATTTCTCTTGGTATATATTTGATTGAATTTATATTCTAGTAATTATCGATAAAATTTCAAACTCCAATACTAATGTTTTAAAATTATCGTAGGGTGTGAGACAACTTCATGCTGGGACACTTTTGTCATGGGCTGATCGTGTAGTTGCACTTGTGCAATCTGGTGATTTCCTTGAAGCTATAGCTTTAGCCACATCTTTTTATAATAAAACATCATCTCAAACAATTCTTGGTTTACCGGATGATGAAGAAAGTCGTCATGCAATTGTAGGTGAAAAACTTATGGAACTTTTAATAGGTTCAATAAATTATGCATTTTCGAGCGAGCGTACATTCCAGGGTATGGTTGATGAACATAATGGTAGCGGTGCAGTTTTATTCAATGATTTAGCTGTCGCATGTATTGAGGCCTGTCTTAGTATGCATAGAGAGGACTTTCTATTTAATGATGTTTATGAGCGATATTCTGAGGCTTCTGCTAAAGGAGTACTCCTTGAAGTTTTTGAACCATATATACTCGAAGATAAAATAAAGGATTTACCGCCGGAAATAATGAAAGATCTGGTCGATCATTATAAGAGTCGTCGTATGCTTGCAAAAGTTGAAAAATGCATATGGCACATTAACCCTCAATGTATAGATATTGATCAAGTTGTCCAATTATGTCAAAGTGAAGGACTCTATGATGCGATGATCTATGTTTGGAATCGTTCCATGATGGATTACGTTAGTCCGGCTGTTGAGCTTCTTAAAATAATCAGGAAAATCTTAATTTTAGAAAAGCGTAAAAAAAAGAAGCATCGTTCTTCAATGTCAACTTCCTCCATTTCAGCTGATGTTAATGTTGAAGCGGGTGAAGATTTGGAGACAATGAGAACAAACGCTCGCAAATTTTATACTTACATGGGAAATATTCTCACTGGTCGCACATATCCTAACGGTGCTCCACTTTCAGAGCCAGAAGCTAATGAGGCTCGAACAACATTATATTCTTTTGTGTTTTCTGGTCGTTGTGTTGTATGGCCTAGGCACGGTGGGGAATTAATCTTAACAGCTGAAGATGAGTTGAAAGGTTCAGAACCTACTTATCCCTATCTTAGAATCTTCTTACGATTTGATACAAAAGCGTTCTTGCAAGCTTTAGAAATCGCCTTTGAAGATTCTTATTTAAACGGGGTTGAAATAATTATGAATGGTGATGAATATGTTGAGGAAGAAGAATTACCTGGGAAAATTATAAATCGTCAGTTATTAGTGAATATCTTGTTAGAAGTTATGACATCAAGTTCTTATGATAACTCGGAATTTTCCCAGACAGATATTTCCTACTTGTATAGTTTTGTAGCGCGTAATTTACCAAAATACACACAATTCTTACTATTACCCCCATCTATCATACACAAGATACTGGTCCATCTCAGTACTGATAATGTTCCTCGTACTCGGGAAGAACGACAACTTTCAGTAGAATGTTTATTATCTATTTATACACCACAAGATGAAAATCAGATGGTTCAGTTATATGAAAATGCTGGGTTTTGGAGAGTGCTGGAGCATGTATATAAAGCAGATAAAAAATACGGATTATTAGTGACAACTTATTTAAAAGATCCTGAACGAAGAAATGAAGTTTTTGATTGTATTCGTAGCTTATTAAATCCCAACAGTAAGCTTACGGAGAAACAAAGAGAAGAAGTTACACAAACTATTATGACGAGAATTGATGAAATTGTTGATATTGATGGTGAACAAACTGCCGCAATTATTAAAACATATTTTGACAGTGATCATAAAACTGTTATCGAGAATTTATCATCATCTCCAGCACGTTTATTCACTTATTTGAGGGGACTGTTGGAACCTTCTCAAGAAAATATAACAGGCGGAGAACTTGTGAGGGTTCGAACTGTCGAAGAACAAGTTATTATGTCTGAAGCACATTCAGAGTCCCTTCTTATAGATCCAGAAATTCATGAACAGTATATTGCATTAATGTGCAGATTTGATCCTACAGGTGTATACCATTATTTACAAACTCATCCAGATACCTATAGAATGGAATATGTATTGCCTATTTGTGATGACACTGATATTGTAGACGCAGTGGTTTGGATTTTGGAGAGAAGTGGTAAAGCAGTTGAAGCACTTAACAAAATTTTGGATATAGTCCAAGATAAAAAGCAGGAAATTCTTTCATTGATTGAAGATAAAAAAAATGACATAAATGACCAATGGACATTAATAGAAAAAACAAAAATAGAGACATCTTTAATGAAATTAAAAGGTGTACTCAAGATTGGCATTCTTTTGTGCGAGAATAGTTGCCGACGAGCAACTTCAACAAAAGGTTCTAAGGGTGCTGTTGCCTTGCCTCAAGACCATACTACAGAAAGTGAAACTGAGTTATTATGGTTCAAACTTCTTGATGCATTTTTGGATGCCACTAAAGCTATATCTTCATGTGTAATACCACCAATACCTCCAATGATGTCAGAAAAACTTTTAGCCAATGGGCAATTATCCTCATTTGAAGTATCGAGATCACCTATATCACCATATATTGCAAATCATTTAGTTACTACTTTTAAATCATATGTTCAGTCTATTATGAGGTCCTTACTGTTGTCCACATCTTCGCCTTACGTTTCATTGCCGAGACTATTGCTTAGATTTATTCAGTCGCAAGCCAAAAGGAATAGTACCGTCTCGGACTTTCGGGACATTTTCGTAGGGATGATTGATACATATAAATATGAAGGTCAGTTGCTAGCTATGACCAACCGACTATTTGAAAAGGACTTGTTCATGAATGTAGCGGGTGTTGTTAGACAGCGTGGTAAAGGCTGGCGCCCTCGTAGGGGGGCATGTGAAGTGTGTGGGGTTCAGTTTTGGGGAACGGATCTTAACCATCTGAACCTTCGCACACCATCTGGTTGGGGTTCACCCGAAAAGAAAACGCCCCATTCATCCACTATATCCAACCCTGCCAATATTGCAGATGCCTTACCAGATGCCTTACCGACCCTTGAATTACTTGAAGAAGAATCTAATCAGTACCTGTCTGATGGAGAAGCTTCGACATCTGTCAACCCACTCCCCTCGCCACCGTCTCCTCAACCTTCAACATCGTCAACGATTCAAGAAAACGACCTATTACTTTTCCGTTGTGGCCACGGTTACCATCGTAGATGCCTCGAGACCGAATCGAACATTTCTACAGAAAATGAACCAGAAACTATATGTACGGTTTGTCAAATAGAACGACGGAGTGATGACATTGATTTAATGAATAATTCAACGGGAAGAATTAAGGGCAAAGACAAAATTGTGAGTAGAGATTCATTTATGTGTTAAAGTTTATATGAATATATATATTTTTTTTTTTTGAAAAAAAATCTTGTTACGAATCTATCATATATTATTATCTTTTTTTTTTCTTTTTAAATAATTAGATTTAATGATGGAACTGTAATGCCTCGAAAAAGGTTTTTCAACAGACTTTGAAAATTATGACGTGAAAATTTTGTGATTTATTATAACTTTTAATCTCTCCATTATTAACCTTTTTTGAATGTTGAATTATTTTTATAATGGTATTCAACAATTACTTTTAATTATTGGTTTAGGACTTTGTTTAAAGGGTCTGTGTCTCCAGGTTTTTTTTCCATTTTTTTCTCTTGATTATAATTATTACTTAGTGTAATTATAAATTAAATTCTTTATTTGTAATTTTAGATTTTATTTAGGAGGGGGGGGGGTTTATAAATTTTATTGTATTTTATAGTATTTATTTAAACATTTGTTCTTGGAGAATTTTTTCTACATCAAATTGTAAATTATTATTAAAATACTTTGATGTTTCTGGTTTTCGGATATATAAGTTCGTTACAATTTACAATATTAAAAATATACTCTTTCAATAATAACGTAATAACATGTTAAAAATTGTATTTATTTTTTAGATACCGACGAATAATAATACAGTAAATTTATGATAATTTCTAATATAAAAAAATAATATTTCTATTCAGTTTTTGTATGTTTATCAAAGTCTTCAATAAATTTTCCATTATATTCTTTATAAATGTTAGAAAATTCTTGAAAGACACGATTAGCATCTTTATTTTGAGAAAATTCACCTTGAAGAAAAGTATGTAAAGCACGCCAAAATTGAGGATCTTTCAATTTTTCCATAGCAGAAGAACTAAGAGGTTCTTGAGCTGAACTTGAAGAAACAGGTGATGATATTGTATCAGAAGTAGAAGAACTAATTGACGCACTACCAGACTTTTGAACTAAATGTACTGTGGTATCATTATTAATACCATATTCATATAAAGTTTTAGTATCGATTAAAGCTTTTCCTTTTAATATCAATCTTTGATTATTAATAGGAATCGAAGCAAGTGGTTGCAATTTTTCCTTAAGATTAATAACCGTATCAGAATTATTTAATTGGACTGTAAATGTTTGACCTCCTTTAAGTGATTTAATTTTTACTTGAATTGGAATACCTGAAAAAAAAAGTACGCGTTATTTGGAAAAAAAACAAGGGGAAAAAAATTCATTCAAAATATTACGCCTGTACCTTGAGCAGGTTCGGCGTTTTGTGAAATTTCTTGATTTGATTTTCCTGTTGATTTTTTACTTTTACTAGATAGTGCGTTTGCTGTCTAAAAATAATAATAAAATGAAAACTTGTATTAAATAAGAAAGTCTGGTTTAGATTCTTTAACTTACTGGCTTTTGACGCGTTTGAAGAGGAGGAGCAAAGTCTTGAGGATATCTCACGGGGCGTGATGATAAAGAACTAAGGAAATTTGTAACAAAATTTGTTTCGTCAACTAAACTCATACTGAGATCAAGAGTAGAGAAATGGTTAAGAAAACTGCAAGAGGAAAAATTTCTGAAATGATCGGCAGTTACACCGCTTAGATGTTTAAATTTCATATGTTGAATATCGGAAAAACTAAAGAGGAAAACAAAGTAATCAAGAATCGCCAAGTTATCTGCCAAGTTATTCGCCAAGTATATCTTATAAATAAGCCAATTAATTTGTTTTGAGTGTCCCCATTTGAATCTTCTTTACTTACACACATACATAGTAACAATGTCAACTCAGAATACTGAAGCAATAAATACCCTGAAGGGTATGTTCCCTAGCGTAGATCCCGAAGTATGTGAAGCAGTATTTGAAGCCAATCAAGCAAATTTAGAACAAAGTATAAATGCTCTTTTGAGTATGTCTGACCCAAACTACAAGAGTGAAGAAAATATTCCAGCTCAAACCGAAGTATGTTGTATCATTTGAATTAGCTTCTTTACGTTTTTCCTATAAATTTTTTAATTTTTTTTTTTAAATACATAGTCTGGACCTAATACTAGCGAACAAATTAAACGTGATGAAGAATTAGCTAGAAGTTTAGCAGCCGAAGCAGATAGTAAGTTTTTATTTTTAAAATAACTTTTTCATATATCTAAATTTTTGATTTTTGATTTTAGGACAATTTTATGCCGAAAATCCTCAATATGATGCACAACAACAACGACAGCAACATGGACAGCAATCACCGCCTCAACAGCAACAACAATCTGCTTTCCCTGATTTTTCAGGTAAAAATGCTTAATTTCATTAATTAGATAAAGATATGATTTTTATATTAAATTATTTTTCTATTAAATAGAGGAACTTCCAATAATTAAAGAAAAAATTGTTCAGGCTGTTGACAGTAAGGATTATTTATTTGATTGAGCAACTTTAATTTTCTTAAATTATTAAATTTATTTTTAAAAAATTTTAGCAACAAAAAAGAAAGCTAAAGAATGGTACGAAAAATTAAAACAACAAACGGCAACAAGAAATGAAACAACTCAACATTCTACTCCGCATTACACAAGTTTACCCGGTTATGAAGCAGATAATCCTTTACTTGAAGAAGATTTTTCTCCTTTTCAACCACAAAAAAATAATGATCGTCAGTATATCAATACCACCAACAATTCTTTTAATACTGCCCCTAATGCTCGAATTTCACCTTTGAAATCTCAGCCAGTTTATGGATCACATGGTATTGATGTTAACAAGGATACTGACGATGATGATGTATTTAGCTCTTCCACTAATAATCATCAAATAAAAATTATAAGAGAAGAAAGAGAAGATCATAATCAATCTTCAATTAATTCTGCTTCTAAGGCTTCTCCATATAAATTAAATGATGATTTAGAAATTCCAGATAATAAAGATAATAATAATAATTCTACATCAACAGCAACTACTACTTCTCCTGAAAGGCATGATATTCACAAAGCTACTAGTGCAGGTAATTTATATTTATTTACATCCATAATCGTATAAGTTAATCATTCTTTTAATGTCATCTTTTTTAATTTAGATGCTGAAGACATTAAAGATTTAGACTTGAAACAATAACTAGAATTATTTATTGTACGAAATGCTCGATTGTATTATTAATCTTTTTTTTTAATATTTAGTTTATGATTAGATAATCTGCTTAAATATTATATAGTACTTATAACTTATTCTACACTTTATTTGTTATAATTGTAAATGTTTTATATAATAAAATAACCTGAAAATATGTAACATTTCAAGCACTTCGAATAAAAAAAAAAAAAAATTAATTTATAAAAAAAAAAAAAAATCTAGATAAAGTTATTATCTCATTCGTGTATAGAGACTCTCTAAAGCTCTTTTTCTAACTGGAGATCTTGGATAATAATCATATTCAATAAATACAATTAAGAATAAAAATTTTTATCAATAATGGCTACCATTAATCTTCCTGTTGCCATTTTCGGAGTATTTCCCATAACCATCATCTGTTCTCAATCGTTTATCATATCGATGTGAACTTTCCAGATCGACCACATCAAGATCATCATCCTCATCCTCACGACTATTATAGGCCATTTCGACTTCCTCAAACTCTTCTTCAATCTCTACTTCCTCAAAATCATCATCATCGATTTCCTCAACATTTGGTGATTCAGTATCTTGATTATAATTAGCATAATATTCTTCTAAATATCGGCCATGTCCCTCATCTTCTTTTTCGTTAACTCTAATATTTTCCACCTTTTGCTCTTCAATTTCTTTGTTTGCTCCTGAATTCCAAGCATTCGAAACCATCATTTCACCTGAAACTGTACTACGAACATGCCAAGCAGGTAACGCATTTTGTTGTCTATTAAATATAAAAAAGTAAATAGACATTCTAAATAAACGTGATTAAACATAAGTACTTAAAAAATACTTGCCGCTTTTTTTCAAGTTCCGCTTGTCGTTCTATTTTTGAAGTCTCATTATCATCCTGAAACACAACGACAATATCCCCTCCCATTTGTTGCATGGTGTCTTGGGCATATTGTACATCATGTTCCTCTAAATATATCATTGAAATAATTAACGTCAGTACGAAAATAAAATACAATCTATACTTTATTTATTACATACGAGTAGAACCTGGTTGTCCATTTTTTGCACCTGATCCAGCTTGTAGTTTTTCAATTGAAGAACTTTTGTACAAATAGAGATAAATTATTGCAATAGAAACTAATCAAATCCTAAATTAAATTTATATAAGTAAATACATACACAGGGATTCGTAATTTATCAATAGTTTTCAATAAATCGATTATCGGTTTACTTTGTTCCATGAATCTAAAATTTTTAAATAATGATCAGTAAGTTATTTTGCGGACTAAACCATCGTCAACAATTACCTTCCATGAAGCTTCTCGGATCCTTTGACGTTTTCGGCATTGTCATTATGATCCAATTCAGAATGACATAAATCACATATAAATGTCTGACGAATAGGATCAAAGAGATTATGAACGTCAAGAGGTGCAAATACTTTTTTGCAACCTGGGCATAAATATCCCTTATTTTCTTGTTCCTGTATTCACAAAGAGGCTTCAACATGGATTGTTTACATGAAATAGAATATCAAATCAAATTCAAAATAAAAATGAATTCATACACTTCGCATACGATCGCCGACCATCTCACGGATTTTAAAAATTTTCCATTTGATAACATTGACAACCTAATAAAAATAAAAAAATGATAAATAATAATGATTATAAATACACATAAATATGTGTTCTTACCTGTTGCCAGTCAACATAATAATAAGTTCTTGGAATTGCCCGCTGTTCTGCTTTCTTTGGTTCAGCTTTTGTGAACGTTTTAATGAGACGTGCTTCTTTTAGAGTACCGCAAAACTTGTGGATCTCTTTGACGTTAAGACCAACGCCTTTCGCCAAGTTTTCGTCGCTCATGGCTTCTTGTTTAGTGAGCTGATCCAGTATTACAATGTGATGTGTTTGGAAAAAAGCTCTTGCCACCCTCATTAGCAAAGAAATGAATACGCTCATATCAGTTGCTTCTTCCACACCACTCATTGTATTAATGTTTTATTAAAAAATTTTGTAACGACGAAAACAAAAATCAATGGCAGTTGGAGGTATAACAAGAAAAACCAACAAAGCAAGGCGGAAGCTCAAATAGCGACTTCTCAAGTTAAAAGTTCTATCAAAGAATTTTGATCTCTGAAAAATATGTAATAAACAGAAAAGAAAATAGAAACTAACATAAATAATAATGGGCTTTTTTTGTACGTCCGAATACTACCAGAATTCCGCAGCAATGCGGGGAATCGGAATTTTTCGGTTCTTATTCAAGGAGGGTTAAACAAACAACCTTACCTGGAACAATATGGAACATGAATTAATAAGTTTGATTTGTCAATATAATGTATGTGATAAAGTATAAATAAGGTCAGAATCCGTTTTTTTTTTCGATTCAATTTCCCTTTAAATTTTAGGTCAAACTAATTTTCAATCCCAATGTCAAATGAAAAAGTCATTTTAGTTACCGGTGGTTCCGGCCTTGTAGGGAAAGCAATTGAGTGGGTTATTGAAAATGATAACGGAAAATATGGTAAACAGGAAGGAGAAAAATGGGTTTTCCTCACAAGTAAAGATGGTAACTTAAGGTAATAATTTATTATTTTGATTCAAATTTCTATTAAATCAAAAATTCAAATAGTTTTTGAATTTCCTTTTAAGGTCTGCAGAAGCTACGCGTGCTATTTTTGAAAAGTATAAGCCAACTCACGTGATACATTTGGCTGCCCTCGTCGGTGGTCTTTTCAAAAATATGAAATATAAATTGGATTTCCTAAGAGACAATTTATTAATCAATGATAATGTTTTGCAAACTGCCCATGAACATAAAGTAAGGATTTAATTATAATTCAAAGCACGAAGTATTATTGAAGATTTAATATCATATAACTTATAGGTTAAGAAAGTTGTTTCGTGTCTCTCTACGTGCATCTTTCCCGATAAAACAACATATCCAATCGATGAGACAATGATTCATAGTGGGCCTCCTCATGAATCTAATTTTGGTTACGCCTATGCAAAGCGTTTGATAGATACTCAAAACAAGTAAATTAAATCTACACGTGTGTTCATGATTTAAAAACCTTCTAATTACTTTATTTTAGGGCATATCATGATCAATTTGGTGATAATTTTACTTCAGTCATTCCAACTAATGTATTTGGTCCTCATGATAATTACGATTTACAAGATTCTCACGTTATTCCTGGATTAGTTCATAAGTGTTATCTTGCTAAAAGTAAATTTGGATAGTGTGTCTTTTTTTTAAAAAAAAGAAAACAAAAAATATATATACATATATATTAATAATTTTAAATTGACGTGAATTTCAGAAAATGGAACGCCTTTTGTTGTTGCTGGAACTGGTAAACCTCTTCGCCAATTTATTTATTCGCGTGATTTGGCAAAATTATTTATTTGGGTATTGAGAGAATATAAAGAAATCGATCCTATTATCCTATCAGGTATTGTAAATATCAAAAAATTTTAACAGAAGAAGTAGTAGTAATTTTGAAGTCTAAATTTACACTTTTTTTAGTTGGTGAAAAGGATGAAGTATCTATTAAAGATGTAGCCGATACCATTGTAAAAGCTGTTGGTTTCGAAGGCGATTATAATGTGAGTGGTTATTCTTAAAAAAAATAAAATAAAATGATAAATAATAGTCATTGCTAATAAAAAATATTTATTTAGTTTGATACTAGCAAAGCGGATGGACAATATAAAAAGACAGCCAGTAACGCAAAATTAATGAAATATCTTCCCGATTTTCAATTCACTCCCTTTGAAGTTGGTAAGTTAATACAATTTTATTTGTGTGTCATTCAACGACAATATATGAAATTCGTGTTAACACACTTTCCTTTTAATTAAAGCCGTGAAAGAATCTACAGAATGGTTCATCCAAAATTATGATAACGCTCGTACTGGAAGTCATTAGAATATAATAATAGTAAAAGGAGCAATGTATTAAATAGATGTATTTTAAATAAATAAATTTTATTTAATTTAATTTTTTAGAATCTAATAATGTTAAAGTAATAATCACATTACAAGACGAAAATAGCTAATAGCGGAGTAGTCGGAAGATGAAGTATAGATAGAATTATATATAATACATACACTTCAAATGTAGCTTTAACATTCAGGTTTATTTTGCATTTTAAATGATAAATAGAGTTTATTTTGAGTAAACTCGTGCATTTTTGTAATTTGAATCACTTTTTAGCTTTCTACTATATACCAAAATTAAAGCGCACCTGATTTAGTAAATCATAACAGGAAAAAACATTGGACATATAATCGATTAAAATCTACCATAACTTCCTGGTACCCTTTAATGATTAATCATTATATCGGAATTGGTGATGTCGATCGAAGGATAAAATTTGAAATTCGATATAATGACACCATCCGTTCTATTAGTAAAATTTGTCAAAAATCCGTTATATTAGGAAATCCATTATCGAGGGTAAATTAATTATACTGTATAAATAAAAGCTATACTGTATAGACTATACAACATCGGGAGTGATACAGAAGTTGTGGGATTTGCTGTACCAACTCGCTCTGAATCCAATTGTAAAGTATCCTGTAGAATTATATTTAAGTTTTGCAATGGTTGACATTTTTTTTGTTCTCAAACCTTTTGAATACTAGACTTATTGATATTATCAAATAAATTGGAGCCAATAGAAAGTCTCAGCTTTGATTGTTGTAGCTCTTGACTCATATTTGGATGGATTTTAAGGTCATATTTATTAAATAGCCCTTCAATCTGCTGCTGATGAACTATTATATACCAAATTTGGTTTTATACAAAGTTACATTAAATTATCCAAAATCTTCAAAATTTAATAACTCACATTATTGACATTTAAATAGTACTATAAGCTTGAACAAATACATGATGACTTTAAGTAACTTGTTTTTCATAAACTCAAGAAAAAAAATTTTTTTTTATTCAATACAAAAGTTAAAGAAGTTTAAGTTACTATTTCCAAATAACAATAATTATTTTTTTTCAAAAAATTGAGGTATTATATGAAAGAGAAAGATATTTAAGATAAGTTTAAAAAATTTCAAATGAAAATAAGAACTAAGAAGAAATATTCCTAGTTATGGAGTCACGAAAACATGTTAATTTTAATAGGAAATTAGTAGTAAATTACTTATAACTTTCATATAATGATCGGCAGAAAAATCTTTAATAGTAAATTTTTATATGATACTTTACATATGTTTTGATTGTCCGGAGCGAAGCGAAGGACAATATATGTCTACGCACTATGAAAAAAAAATCGATCACGTGAGTTTCTCTGTCTGCCACGTGATCGTCACCCAATGAAATCGGCAAATTTTAGTTTTTCGTTCCGGACTTACAACGGTTCCCGTAATTAGTTGATGGAATGACATGAAATCATTCACGTTATATAAATTGCAATATACCAAAATTTCCCGGATTATACCGAAGGTCAGATCGGCCCAGACACCAAATTCGTTATAACGCGAGCCGACTGTATACCGTAAATTAATATAAATATTGTGTAAATGTGTAATAATAGGGGCAAAAATTGAATTTCGCTCATGCCTTATTCTAGTCCAAATTTATTTTTAGCAGAACAGCAGAACATATTAAATCCCGACGGGTCAAAAACGTGTATTAAGAAACATGGAAGAAATGCTAAGAAAACGTGGAAAAATTATCATAGGAGTTGTGGGAGTTGTAACTATTCCTTTCACTATACCTATTCTGACATATATTGTTTTACGTGATGTAGTGCAAGAAGTAAAAAAAAAGACAAAAAAAGTAAAAAGAGATATCGAGATATGGAGCTTGGAACAAACTTTAAAACTGCAACTTGAATTAGAGCTAAAGAAATTTATTTATGAGCAGAGCAAAGTTCAAAAGGATATTGGGTTAAAACCAAGCGATGCGGGTTTTTGTGAGTGGCTAAAGGACGTTAAAAAAGTTAAAATTGATTGTGTATTAACTAACTGCAAACAAGAGTTACAAGCAGAATATGAAAAGTATCTAACTACCGGAACTCAAGAATTGCCGTCACTCAATATAGAGGCGATTGACCAATTAAAAAGTTTTAATCATTGTAAATTGTTTCCTAAACAAGAATGGATAGTTAATAAGTTGATACCAAATGCAGAATTAAACAAAAGATATAAAAGTTATGGTTTATGTTTAGATTGCCAACAACCTAAAATTGATGAATTTAATTGCCAAACTTGTGGTACTCGATATTTAATCCAGTACTTCAAAGAACTGACCAGTAGTAGCAATCCAGAAAATGAAATTATTAAAAAATTCCAATCAGATAGCCCTAGTTATAAGAAAGCATTGCTAAAAAGAATACCTTATAACAAATTTGAAAGCGAAAGTATCGAGTATTTAGGAAGGGGAGGATTCAGTACAATCTTTAAAGCTATAATGAACGAATATAATGATTATTACGATTATGAAAAAGACGATGAAAAAGTTAAAAACAGGAGTGATTATATAATTTATCGCAAAGTTGTTTTAAAGAAATTAAAAGATTCTAGCAATGCAATGACTGTGGATTTTTTGCAAGAAGTCGCTAATCATCATAAATTGTTTAAAAAGGGCGATAAGATTGTGAAGTGTTACGGGATCACCCAAGACCATCAAAAAGACTACGTGATGGTTATGGAATACATGGATGGCGGCGACTTGCGACAATGTTTAAAAAAGCATGCTAACAAGTTAGACTTTAAAGCTAAACTCTATTAATTACTTACAATTACAATTGGATTAAACAGAATTCATAATCTAGGATTAGTTCATGGGGATTTACATCCAGGCAATATATTAGTTAATTATTTTTTTTCTTTGTAGCATTTCTGATCTAGGTTTTTGCCGACCTGTTAATGAATCCGATAAAAGTAAAGTCTATGGCGTTACTCCATATATTGCTCCAGAAGTTTTAAGGCACCAACCTTATACTCAAGCAAGCGATATTTATTCTTTTGGTGTAATAGCATATGAATTATTTTGGAGTAAATCTCCTTATTATGATAAATCGCATGATGAATTCTTGGCTATAGAAATCTGTAAAGGCTTACGGCCTAATCTAGATGATCTAAAATTCCCTCAAGTGTTTAAAAACTTAATTCGACAATGTTGGAATGCTGATCCAGCAAAGCGTCCAACATCTGATAAATTAGAAAAGACTTTAAGAGATTGGCAAAAAGATACCGAATTTCTTCTTAAACTTCAAGAAATTTCTCAAGATTTCACTTACAAATCCCATCCAACTGCTATTACAACTAGTAAGTTAATAAACACCAAAGAGATTAATAGACAATTAAACAGTTTAGACCTTTTAGGAATTAATGTTTCAAAACTTGATTTTGAGGAAAATAAGAAAATAACTAGTTGCGAAGCAGAAATAACAGAAAATAACACTGCAAACATCATTTCTAGTCTAGTTTATAAATTAGAAAGCGAAGAAATCTCTCCCATTGAAGACAAAACATTGACTCAAATTTCACCGATGAACTAGTTCAATCCTGAACCGAGTTAAATTTCACTTATAAAGATTGAATCAACACCGATTAATATTCGTTTGATATACTGTATTTGATTAAGGAAATATCTAGAGAGATCTAAAGCGAAATCAAATTAACTGTCGAAGACATTAAATAGCTAAAATTAAGTTGTTGGGACCGATAATGAATAAGTACTGTAAGGGTGCTGTCATTACCTAATATTTTAGTGGGAGGGGGTAACTAAAGATCTTAGGTTACATATAATACTATATAAGGAATTATATATATAACATATCTTACCTGCTCTTATATTAAAGTGATATTAGGTAATATCTGACAGTGCCCTTAAAGGGAAAGATGAAAAGAACATTGAAAATAAAGTTAAGGTGTAGCTAAATGTGGTGCAAATTTGGGTATTGGGTATAGGGGCAAAAGAATATTATTGAAAAAGGGAACGTGAAATTATTTTAAAGGAAACACAGGCTGGATACAAATCGGTTTAGCTCTTTAAAACGGTTATTAACTTATTTGGCAGCACTAGCTTTACTAAATTTAAATAGAATGTTTTTATTTCCGTAAAAAATTGTTGATAGCGAAATGACGAATGAATTTTAAATTGACGTTAAAAATAATTGATGTAGTTAAGTGAATGAGTTATGTAGAACGTCGAATGAAGTAAAAAGCTTTAAAAAGAGAATTAAATAGCACGTGAGTTTATTGATTTATTGACTAAAGTCAAAGCGCTTTTCATTACCTTAATAATCATAAATATGTCATTGGGGAAAGTTTGAAAAATAGCTACTAGGAAAGGAATAAACATGCAAGTTATCTTGTCCGTCAGGACATGACTAGTGAACTAATGGCTAAACATGACATGAATCCTAAATTTGGTGTTAATTTGAAGATAGTTTCGCGTAACAAAAAATTTTTTTTGGTGAAGTTGAATTGTTCTCATTTATTTCCTAGCCTGGCAGCATGAAATAAATTGAAATAGTGCATTTAGTAGAATCCTAAAAGCATTCTTTTATAATAAAATAACAATAGCACGTGTCAAGTAACTCTCGTATCGATGAAATTCCCACTTATCACACTTTTTTTCGCTCTTCACACCCAAGTAGAATCCTAATTACGATTGAGGAAATAGATTTTTTGACTTTAATTTAAACATTATAATTTAAACATTAGATTAGGCTTTTTTAAAAAATTTTTTTTTATGCTACACAATACATTATCCAATCAAATCTAGTTTTAGCTATGTTAAGGATGCCAACAAGTACACATCTTTATTGCACGCAATTATGATTGACAGTCTTTTCGTTTTGAACACTGCTGGGTAAATTTTCTTTAGGAAATAATTATTCTTTTCTTCTTAATTCTTACCATTTTTTTTTGTTATAGAAAAATTATCATTGAAAAACATTGGCGAGGTCTTATAAATCGTCAAGTGGTTGATTATTTTAATGACCAAGTATCTAGACAGTCCTCCCCGGAAGATTTACCACCAGTCGTTTCGACGCCAAAATACCAGCTGGTCCATGTTTACCGATCTAGCTTAACTTTTTTAAGTCCTGTTTCTAGTGAAGGTGATTAAACATAAATTGTGAGCCATTTGATATTTAATAAATTTCGGTTTTATTCATTGGAATATAAATTATCATTTATTATAAAAAATAGTCGATGTTTTGTTAGTGTTAGAGTTCCTTCACAGGATAGTAGACATACTAGCAGAATATTTTGGTGAAATATCTGAGCTATCAATAAGAGATAATTTTGATGTCGTTTATCAGGTTAGATTTTAATCATTATTAGTTCGATTTGTATTTACTTTAAATTAATCAATTTATAATTAATAGCTTTTAGAAGAAATGATGGATTATGGTAATTCTATAATTTATATTGATTTTAATGGCTCTTAAATAAAAAATGTCTTTAAAATAAAGATTGGATAGAATATAATATGATTTTTATTATGTGTTATATAGGATATCCATTAACTACTGAACCTAATGCTCTGAAGGAAATGATTGTACCTCCAAATATTATTAATAAAGTGATAAGTCAAGTTGCCGGAGTAACAAGGTAAAAAGGTCTCAAAGATAATAAAAAAAAGTATATACATATAATCTTATTTTTTTTTTCTTTCGTATTTGCTAGCGTTACGCAGCATATTCCTAATGGAAGTACAATATCAAGTATTCCATGGAGAAAATCTGGTGTAAAATATACAAATAATGAAATATATTTTGATATGATTGAAGAAATAGATGCAATCGTTGATAGGTACAACGAAGTAAAACTAAATTTGATTTTCGAGAAAAATGAATTAGGGCTTATGTTTTTTTTCTTGATAATTTAGTAATGGCGCAATAGTGTCATCTGAAACCCATGGAATAATACAAGCAAATTGTCGTTTATCTGGTTGGTTATTCATAATTGTTTATTGAATAATAATTTAAATTTAAATTTAAATTAATTTATTGATATTTAGGAATGCCTGACCTTACGTTGAGTTTCGTAAATCCAAGAGTGTTGGATGACTGTAGTTTTCATCCATGTGTTAGATATAACAAATTTGAAAATGAACGCGTACTTTCTTTTGTGCCTCCTGATGGTCCATTTAAATTAATGAACTATCGGGTAAATTTGCCACATCAACAATCTTTACCAATATATGTAAAACCGCAAATTCATATTGGAAATAATGGTGGTATGTTTCTTATTTAATATCATCCGATTATAAATATTCTTTTTCTAAAAAAAAAAACATTATAGGTAAATTTGATATATCAATCAATATAAGAAATACAGATGGAAAACCTATAGAGAATGTCTTGCTGGTATTTCCCTTAGCTAAATCTGTATCGAATGTTAACGCTACATGTAATCTTGGTTCATATATTTTTGATCCCGTCACAAAGGTAAATTTTATCTTTTTTCGTATGAAAGGAAGTATTTTTAGTCTAAAAATGATTTTTTTTCTCATATTTGGTTAGAGTGTTAGATGGGATCTGGGTAAAATAGAATCTAAAGATAAAGTTCCTTTATTATCCGGAAACTTCAGCAGTTCGTGAGTAATGTTTTTTTTAGTTGAAAATAAAAAAAATCCAATACTAACAATGGTTTATTTATTTAGTGAACAAACACCAGAATCAGGGCATACAATTACATTAGACTTTTCTATTAATATGTATGCAATATCGGGACTTAGAGTAGACAGTTTAAAGATATTTAATGAAGGATACAAACCATATAAGGTATGTTATATTAAAATTTAACTTTTTTAATTAATGAATGAAATTATTAATTTAATTTATTTAATTTATAAATTTAAAGGGTGTACGAAGTTTAACCAAAGCTGGAAAGTTTCAAATTCGCACATGATAAGGACTTTTTAATTAATTAATTCATTCAAAATTTGGAAGTTTCAATTAAATCATTAATGTATTTGGGGAGAAACCAAAAAAAAATTATTTAATTTATAATAATAATACAAATAAAACAAAACTTCTTGTATAATAACTAATAATAAATATTTCTTGTATTTAAACAAGGGACTATAAAATTAATGATTTAAATTCATTTGAACAAGAAAAATTTGTTGCTTCTGCCTAAAACTACTTTTTTTAACTTCTTTATCTTACAATAAGAGAATATTTTTAAAAATCATATAAGTTCCTAATATAAATAAAATAATATAAATAAAATAATAATAAATAATATTTAATGAATACAGAATACTTTACTCACTCATTTCATAATTATTTACTTTGATTCGTTTCCTTTTCTGCTTTCGATTCTAATGCTTTCAATTCTAAGGCTTTCTGTTGAAAAAGATTAGATTATTAATATTATTAATAAAAATGAAATATTTGTTATAAATGAAATTAAAAGAAAATCATTTCAAAACTTACTTGTTGCTTTTGTCTCATAATTTCAGCATCACTAGAAGGTTAATGAGAATGATCACATAATTTCGAATTTCGAATGATTTTGATTTTTGGAAACGTTTAAATAATTTTTTTTTTTAACAAATCCACAAAAATTAATTTCAAAGGATGAAAAAAAAACAATAAAACAAAAAAAAAAGAAAATCAATGAAAAAACAAACTTAGTGTCATTCCAAAATTAAAATAAAATAAAATAAAATAATCATTTTTTTAAACATACAAAATTAATTAAAAATTAATTTCTTTATATTAGAATAATTAGAATAAGTTTTTTTAAATATATATATATATATATACAGATACATATATATAAATAATATAGATCTTTTTTCTTTTTTTTTTTTAAATAGTTGATAAAACAAAAAAAAACAAAAAAAATAAAAATAAAAATAAAAATATACTATTATAATAATATCTTTTTATTACGTACCTTTCAGCTCTTTTTTTAAAAGCGTTTCCATCTTCTTTTTTCTTTGGTTGCTTAGATTGTTTTTTCAAATTCTTTTCACGAGCTTTTTCTCTTTGATTTCCACCTTTATAAAATAAAAAAACAATTTTTTATTATTAAGTTCAGAAATAATTTATTTTAACATTCAGACTTCTTAAATACTACTTACGAGCCATTTTAAATGATTTAAAAATGTAAACAAGTAGAGAATTGAAAAAGATTAAAAAATTTTTTAAAAAATATGAAGCGGAGAAACAAAAAAATACGTGGTAAATGTAAATGGGAAGATTTGGAATTTTTAAGCACCGCAGTAATTGCTTTTTTGAGGCTGATTTCCCGACAATATCTTTTTAGTATTAGTTCCGTTAATCAATGAACCAAATAAAATAATTATTGTTTTTCAGAACTATGAAATTTTTTTCTTACCAAATTCGTTATTATTATTTGTAATTAAAAACGAAGCAGATCTAAATACAAACATCTCATCCATTTTAAGTTATATTATTTAAGCATAAGATTTACATTAAATAATACAAAAAAAATGTAAATTTGTAAAAATATACTTAATTTTTATTTTGCAAAAAAAAAAAATCATTTTCCATATCAATTATGAAAAGGAAAATGAAATGAAAGAAAGGACCCGAAAATTTTTTATAACTATACAACTAACAAAATTATTATCATTTCAAGAAAAAAAAAACAAAAATATTTCGTTAATAATGAAAATAAACTAATGTTAAGGATAAAATAATATAAATGAAAAAAAAAAAAAATGTCCAAACAATTATATACTAGGGGTAAAAATTTATTAACAACTCAGACGAAGTTATTGACTTAGTGCAAACAACTTCGAAAGAAAGGGAAAAGGGGAAATCGAAAGAGAAAAATGATATACAAAATGAAAAAAAAAAGAGAGAAAATAAAACTTCCCACTTATGATATCGCCATATCCAATTAAGAATCATTGTGGATTTTTTTTTTACTTAAAAAATATCAACAACTAAATTTATCACATTATATAACATTAATTTAACCTATATCAAACAGGATAAATTTCAAACTTAAATGGATATGATGCTTTTTTTTTATGAGCGGGATAAAAAAAGGTAAATTTTTAGATGTTAGCAAATTATTATGAAGTCATAAATTCTACGTGAAAAAGGAAAAAAAATATTATTCACAAAAAATTATTTAAAGAAAATATGATATTTAGTCTATTTTTCAGTCATGCTTGACATTTCAATTCATTTCTTATCACCAGGTTGAGGTGAATATTGTTGAACTTTTGCGGCTCCATTTCCTCCAGTATTAGCTTGATTCCAATAACCTGCAGCTGGACTTTGCATGTAAGGAGAACCTTGAGCGGTAGCATATTGATTCAAATGTTGCTGATTGTATTGAGGATATTGAGCTGGTGACATGTAAGATTGAGCGAGACCTCCGGTACCCATTGCCATACTGCTTGGGATGTTACTATATTGATTAGCATATGGATTTATTCCTAGAGCATAAGATTGAGCAGATGATATTTGTCCACTATTAGGTGCTTGATGCTGCTATGAATTAAATAATTTAAATTTAATCAAGAGATCTTGTAATATAATAAAGTTAAGAAAACGGTTGTTGATTTTACTTGCCTTTCGATCATGATCATAAACGTTATCATTATTTCCATCTGTGTGAGTATTATCATTTCCATAATTTGGAGTACTTTGAGACGCACGTGCTTGCTATATTAAAAAAGAAAGATTTGATGCAAAAAAAAAAATTTTATATTAATAAAANAAAAAAAAAAAAAAAAAAAAAAAAAAAAAAATTGTTAAAAACATTTTTAAAGATTAAACTCGAATCGTGATCAAATTTTATACGTACCGCAGCAGCTGATTCTTGAGTTGGTGCATCAGGAGCATTTAAACAAGCTTGAATTAAATTCTTTCCCTCAGGTTTAGTAACGAGAGGTTGAAGTTTTGGAGTAGTAAAGGTATAAACAAGGCCAGTTTCGGATACGACGAGAAGAAGAACTTGTGTGCCCGTCAATGTACTAAGTTCATACGCCTAGATAAGAAATTGGTGACAGTTAATAATGATTATTTGGTGAAAAACGTGGGAGAACGAATTGATAAACCGGGCAAGGTTTACAAAAATCATAGAGACAAAATAGGATGTACATATGTCCTATTACGATATTTGTCTAGCCAAGTTTCGCCAAAGTGGTAACAAACAAAAAAAAAAAAAATAGGGGTAAAATAACCCAAATACCAATCCAAATTATCCGAAGTTCTTTTACAGTGTTAGTTATATGTAGGAGTATCCGATTTTTTTTTTTTTTTTCTTAAAATTTAACCGAATTACCTTTTTCATTATACCGGCCTTTCTTTTACTAAAGGTGATATGGCGTCTACTTTTATCATCAATATACTCGATTTTTATCTTGCGGCGTCCAGCTTTTTTCTCGCTCTTACTATCGTCGTCACCAGAATCGTCGTCTAAATCATCGTCATGGTCTCGCTTACTTCCTCTTCGTGGAGTCGTCTGTTCAGATAACGGCTCCGCAGGGTGTCCTGAAGAGTTACTAAGTTTTCGTTGGTTAACTGAAACAGAACTACTGAGATTGCTCATTTCTGTGACGTGCTTTCAAATGAGGAAGTAGAAGGTTTTTTTTATGTTTATGGGTTATCGTTTTTGACTGGTAGTTTGGTAGCAGTAGCCTTTTTTCGTAGTTTGTATTGTCTATATGCGTTTTTGTGGAGCTTTTTTATGTAAAGAAAAAAAAGGAAATTTAGCTAGGATTAGCTAAAGTTGTTCTGTGGCGCTAACTTGCATGAAATGTTTATCTTTTATTATTAATCCATGATTGGCCTAATTTCTGATTGACCCCTCAGGACGGATAATTTTTTTGGTTCACAATTACTACAATAACAGAATAATATCCTTAGTATTAGTCAAACATGGTCTACATAAGATAATTCTGACCAAATTAAATCAGTTTATAGACTTATTTGTATTATTTGTATTGCGTATTTTACGTTTAAATGTCGTGTCCGATTTACCATTATTAAAACTTTAATTTATTATTTTTTTTCACTGGTTAGACAGGTTAGAAATATTTCTAATACAATAAATATCAAATAACTACCAAGATAAATTAATAATAATGTATTTTTTTATTTTTTTTTTTTTATTATAATATTATAAAATTATTACCAAAGACATATATGATTTTCGTGTGAAAATTTCGAAAAAAGAGCCAATTATTTGTAGACAAAAAAATTAAATATTATCCACAAACTCTATAAAGATAATAATTAAAATACCCCTTATATGATTATTGCTTAGCAACATAGCCACAAAAATTATTCAATTACTTTAATTACTTACCAATTTAAGATAACAATTGCATTCCTATAATAGATGTAAATCGAACATCGGGTTACTAAAGTTACTAAAGCAAAAACAGAAGAAATAGCCGCCATACTTTATCTATCAAGGTATTAGCCCAAGTTTGTGAGACTTTAAATTAAATTTTTTTCAAAGATTCCTAAATAAATTTATTAAATAATAGATTTACAAGTTTAAGATTACTGCAAAGGGGAAAAGGGGTTGAAATATTATAAAAAAGTTTTTGTTACAAAAATTTTCATTATTATGATTTTCGTTCCATTAACTTTCCCAACAATTCTTTTTGAATATCTGCCTGTTTTTGAGATTCGACAAGCGATTTGATCGATCGTAAATCATTTACAATATCTTTCGTCTTGCCGAAATAAACTTCTTGAAGTAAATTACGCATTTTAAGTTCAATGTCCTCAACCATACGTCCAATATTGGCTATGTGAGCTGAAGGATCATCAATTGGATAATCGGCTTCGAACTATTTATTTATCCATCGTAAATAATTTTTTTTTAATAAATATAAGCAAAATCTATCCAGTGAAAAATATTATAACTTTATATATATATATTTTATTTTACCTGTCTCGTCATACTCCCAGATAAATTCATATTTCCGAGTTCAGGTTTGCTTGTAATGGTGTATAACATAACAGTAGATGTTAATTTATAATGTGCATTACGACCTCGTTCATTTGCTTTGAATACATGAATTGAATCCCATGCCCCCTTCATCCTACGACTACCATCACCGACTAAAAAAAAAAAGTCAACCGTTATTATTAAAAAGTTATGAATAATTATATCATATAAATTTTTACCTTTTTTAAATAAAACCGCGCCAGAAAATCCGGATTGAAGTTTACTTTGAATTAGTTCTTGTTCTTGGTCATTGTCCCAAAAATATACTGAAGAAGTACCTCCCTCATAATACCTTTAAAACAAATAATATAAAATTTAATAATAGCTATTAGATTTCTTTTTAGAGGGGAAAGAAAATAATACTACACACATCTCACGATATGTATCAAAAGCTTCATTGGCGGATACCTCCAATTTGCGAATTTTTTGAGAAGGGAATATTCCATCATTTATTGGAGGATCATACTCGTTTGACCAAGGAGAACTAAAGGGAGAAGAGATTTTTTTTTTATTTTTTATTTTTTTTATAAATAGAGAAAGAAAGTAGTTTAAATGTCGGTTTAAATAACCAATATTACGATTAGGTGCGTTTTAATGAAATAAGACAAAAGTTTTAGCTTTATAATTCTTAATGTATTTTAAAGGACAATTAGTAATAGCTTAGCTTACCGAAAAGAATCACCATCTCTGTTAAAAGTAGACATTAAATAATCTTTATTCGCGATTTTGCATTTTGCAACCTTAAGTGGTTGGTCAATAGCATTTAACAGTTCATCTTGAAGACCAGGGACAAGATCTACAAGCTGTGAAAGATTATCCTCTGTATTTTGAGGAGGGAGGCGTCTCATGAGATCTAAAGCACAATCAATTTGGTCACCCTGTTGAAATCAGTTTCAACAATGATAAAAAAGAAAATTTGAAAATTTACATTAAAAAGAAAGATTTCAGGAATTATAACATATTTGTTAATTTTCTACCATTTTGAGTCCTGACAAGAGTCTACGGAAGTAATTTGGCCTACTAATTTTCATAAAATTGTTTTGATTATAGGAAAAATTTTTATTGGGTGGAGGAACAAATTCATGTGATCGATGATATTTTGTCATATTTCAAAGCTTGATGACAGTGGAAACCGCGGTAATTGTTGGAATTTGTAATAATTTCTTCGATCATATTTCTGCTGCTTCGGTCTTCGGACACAATACAATATCTTACAATGGGTCAATAAAGCAAAATTCGGGAAAAAAAAAAAAAAAAAAAAAGTTTCAGACAATTTATTCATCGAAATCTAATTGTACCGATACAAATATTGAACGCATGATGATCAATTCGATTCAAACTTTAAATTTGTTATACAATATTAAAAAAAATATATATATAATTTTTTATTTTTTTTTAGATTAAAAAATAATTTAGATTTAAATATATTAACATTTGATTAAAACTAATTTTTTAAATTATTGATAATTTGGTTGGTAAATTCCGTATTGGATGCCTTTCCACCGAGATCACGCGTGAGAACCTTTCCTTCAGCAATTGTATCTAAAACAGCTTTTTCAATAGAGTCAGCATAAGGATTTAAGTGCATATGACGAAGCATCATTATAGAAGACAATAGAAGCGCTGTGGGATTCGCTAAATCTATAATATTACGGTGTATTTATAATAATAAATAATCACATTTTTTTTTATAAAATGAAAAAATTATTTTTTCACTTGCCTTTGCCAGCAATATCAGGTGCTGTACCGTGTACTGCTTCGAAAATCGAAGCATCCCGTCCAATATTTCCTGATGGAGTCAATCCAAGTCCCCCAATTAATCCAGCACACATATCTGATAAAATGTCTCCATATAAATTAGGCATAACCATAACTGTGCTTGAATATCGAGAAGGATCTTGGACAATCTACGAAATTTATTCATTTTTTTTTAAAAAAGAATAAAAATAGGAAGTTATATAAATTCTTTTGAACATACATGAAGACATGCTCGATCCAGCAACACATCATCAAATTGGATATCGGGAAAATCCTTCGCCACATCGTTACAAGCTTCCAGAAAAAGACCATCCGATAATTTCCTAAAAAAAAATTGTACTTTGGTATTATGTTTATTTGAGATCATAAATATTGTATTAACTTACATAATGTTTGCTTTGTGTATAGCAGTAACGCGATTACGTCCAATGTCTCTTGCATGAGTAAAAGCATAGCGGGCACATCTCTCAGATGCATCTCTGGTAATCAATTTGAATGATTGAACGACACCATCTACGACCTATTAATGATCAAATATATATAAATATTACGAAAGAATGAAATAAATATGTATTTATAATTCTCTTACAGTATGTTCAATTCCGGAATATTCCCCTTCTGTATTTTCACGAATCAATACCGTATTTACATCATCATAAGGTGTTTTGTAACCAACAACGGATTTACAAGGTCGAACGTTGGCAAATAAATTAAATATACGACGAAGGGTAAGGTTAAGAGAAACATGTCCCTTTCCAATAGGCGTGGCCAAAGGACCTAGTTATATTTTATGGAACTATTTAAAAATCATTTTTCTTAATTGTAAATTTAGGGTTTATCATACCTTTTAAAGCGATAGTATTTTTTTTCACAGAATTTAATGCTTCCTCAGGAATTACCGTTCTTCCATTCCTTAATTCAGGTGTAACATTTACTGGTTCCCAATCAATTGGAACCTTTAGAATTAATAAAAATAAATAGAACATTTAATTATCCAGATATAATAATAAAAAGAAATTTTCTCTTTCAAACAAAAACGTAATAAAGTTGGTAATTTCTTCACATATTTGGTAAACCATCGACTCTGAAATTATCCTGTACTTATGTATTTAAAAACTTTAATATCTTACTCCAGCTGCCTTATATATTCGTTGAACCGAATCCGAAATTTCCGGACCAATTCCATCACCGGGTATGAGTGTAACAGTATAATTACCCTAATTTAGGAATAGCGAATTAAGCAAAAGTTTTAAAATACGAGAAAAAGTGTTGAGCAATAGAAACCTCGCAACTTTACGTTGTCATTCTTCTTTCCACTAAATTCCTCAGTAAGCGAAGCAAATGAACGCAAGCCTATTGACTATAATTTAAATAATTCATTAGAGAACGAATTATCTAAAATAAATGCATTGTTTTGATGATTTGATCACTATTGATACTTTGGATATGCCCAAAGACTTGACAAAAGCGATAGACCTAGTACGAAGCATGGTGATAGAGAAAAAACCGAGGCTAGAAAATGATCTAAATCATGCAAACAGAGATAAAGATAAGAGGCTGTGTTACCATGTAACATCAGATCATTCAGATGAACATATTGAAGATACAGGGTGTGACACACTGACAAATGGTGACAAAGAAAGGTATATAAAGAAATCATCGGAGAATATTTATTTATCTTTATAAAAAAAGCTTTTTTTTTTTTTAAAAAAAAAAAACTTATTTTATTTTTTTTTTAATTTACAAATATTATTATTGGAAAATAAAAGATCGGATTAAAATCAATCACAATTTATTTGAGAATTAAAGGAAAAATCTTCGAGTCACACTCTTACAAAAGGATATTCAACTTCTTTATCCTTTCTCACCCAAATCTTTCTCCTTTTTTTATTCACTACATGTTCAACAAATACTTCCATGCAATATTTCTTTTTAAAATCACGAATAAAAGTAGGGTCCCTATTAAAAAAAAAATAATAATAATTAATATTGCAAATAAATCATGTTGAATTTAATAAAAAAATACAATTTAAAAAAATACTTTACCAAAGTTCAGAAGCGATACCCAAATCCTTACAACATCTCATTAAAGCATTGCTTTTTGCTCCTTCGGAAGCAGTGGCTAATCCAGAAGGATCAAAATACTCTTGTTCTCCACGAGAAACCGATACAAGTCTGAAAATAAGATGAACAATTAAAATTATATAAATCACACTGCACAAAAATATCTCAAGTCTCAACATACCGTCCATCACAAACAAGTGCATATTCACGTGAAATGTTCCTTGGACTAACTGAATTCTCGCCACGAGGTGCCAAACCCCAACCTATAAGAATACAACTTATTTAAAATATAATTATATAGCGGTTATTCTAAATCATATTACTATTTACCTCCAGGTCCAAATGCTTTATTCAAAATGCGACGGTATTTAATTTCAGGTAAATAAATCATCCCATCTATTATAAATAGAAAAAAAAAGAATTAGAAGACAATCAAACAAATGAGGAAGACATCAAAACGGAGATTTCAAAAGATAAATTCTTTGAATTTACCGGGCTTGCACTCTATATCATCAATGTTGACGGGAGCTAATAAAATATTAGCAGCCTCTTGTGGAAAAGCTTTGGTAGATAAACCAAAGAACGATTTGGACCAATCTTGCTCAAATTTATTATCAGGTTGAACTTGTCCTTTCTGATTATCATTATTCAACAAATCGTTAGAAATGAACTCTTGCGTAGGTACAAAGCTTGTAGGGCTATCACTTTCGTTTTTTGATTTATTTGATAATAATGACGCGTTTTCGTGTTCACCTTTTAAAGGAGGATTATCTACGTGTTCGTGAGAAAGCGAGAAGTTTGTAGAATAAAGACTTTGTTGTATAAGAATTTTCACAACATTATTATGTCGTGTCTTTATTTCATTAAAGCCAATATACTTTTCATTAGCAACTCTCGCTTAAAAAAAAGTAATAATATATTTATTAAATACTTACCAAGTTAATATCAAGAGGTTTAATTACGCGTGTTCTTTGTTGAATAATGCTCGAAAAAGCAATTTTTTGGAGGCGTGAACCTTTAATAAACCAAGACATTTTTTTTGCATATAAAAAAAGAGAGTTGTCGCAAGTAAATGATGAGCTAAATGATCTAGTACATTTTTCCCGCAGCAAGCTTCCATTTAAAGGTTTTGATTGGATGAAAAAGGAAAGAGTTCACAATTTTTTTTTTTGCCCATTTATTAACACCTAAAACCACCAAACTTTTGCAAGGTTTGCTCGTGTAATGCATTCTTACTCTTAAATGAACGTAATATTCTTTTAAGTGCGTAACCTATTATACGAATTCAACCAAAAATGTAAATTGTCAGCTAAATTGAAATAATATATAATTGAGTTAAATAATACTATAATTTTGTGGGAATCTAGTACGAGATATTATTGATTGATGAAATAGACTTTATGTTGAAGCTAAGATGGTAATACATAAACATTTTATTCTTCTTGACTTCTTAGAATTCGAAAAAAAAAATATTTAAAAATATTTATAGGATAATTATTTGATGTAGTATACTTACCACTTAAAGACACGAATTTTCTGGAACGAAAAGTAACATTGTTTTTGGTATATTCATTACACATCGTGATTAATACCATGGGAGCATGGCATCGAAGCTTTGGAATATCAAGGTAGTTAATTCCAGATTCTTCAACTTATGTTTACGTAGATTTTAAGCTCAAAGAGATAAAGAAGAATTTCTAATTTTATATATTAAATGATTTGTAAATGGGCTTTCATCAGAAGATGATGTTGAAGATACATCAGGAAACGTTAAAATACACAATATTCAAAACTATTCCTGAAGAATTTGCTAATTGGATGATCTAGAAGAATCGAAGGAAGTATTTCATAATTGAAATTCCTAAATTAATGATTTCAGTTATAATGGGGATATGGGGAAATGAATATTTGTCACGTCAATCACCACAAATTACAAATTACAAATTATAAATTATCATTAGCAAGGACAAAAAAAGGTTAGAAATTAACTGACAGAATATTTCACAAAATGTATATATAATATTAATATTATAGTTCATTAAATATGTTCGGAAAAGCCGATCAAATTAAATATTTTTGACAATTGATCAAAAAAGTAACATAAAATCATTACTTTATTAATAACAATAGTGAGAAAATATTTTCCCTAATAATAAAGTTATGTCACCAAAAAAAAAAAAGATGGTTTATGACTTTTTATTAAATATAAAAATTTCCTTAGAGTTATTTAATCTTCCATCTCACCCCAAATGTTTTTATAGTTGATCGGGAGGGATGAACTTTGAAACTAACTACTAAAATATAACATTTAGGAACAATCGGTTAGACATTCCTTTTTATTATTAAAAAGAAATGCCGCTTATATTCAAATTATATTTAAATTTTGTTGTATTCCAATTTAAGCAAGTTAATTATCTCTAATTTTTTTGGTACATAGTCACGTGAAACAATAACAAGCTTTTTGATAAAGGCGCGTCAGTATTATTATTATTATTTGTCTTACACCTTATCATTGGAATCTTTTACCATTTTTTCTTTCTTGTTTTTTTTCTTCTAGACTTTTTTCTTTCTGTTTTGAACTTTATTTTTCTATAAATTCTATGCATGAAAGAAAGTATATCAGGAATTCAAAAGTTACACCATAAGTAATTAATTTCTCAGATTCTTAAATGTATTTTGGAGCAGAGAATTGTTTATTATTATTTGTTTTTTTTTTTTTTTATATAGATAAATTATTCTTTGTATGATTGTATCCATCTCTTTTACACTTTTTTCACATAAAACAAATGCATTATAATAATTATTTTATATTGAACTACATTCGGTAGTTACAATAAGAGAGATGAAAAACAAAATATTTCCTTTCGGTATTTTAAAATTATCCAACTAATCTTTTTTGGCTTTTTTAATATATAAATATATATATAATATATATTATATATATAATTATATAATATATAAATATAAATATATATATATAAATATATAAATATTATTAATATATATATATATAGATATTAAACCCTAAAAGAATTATCGGATATAAATTCATTCAATGATTTTTTTTCAGCATTATTGTTACATTTTTGTATGCAAAGAAAAAATTTTTTCTCGTTTCCTAAAATTAAATAATCTTCTTTTATGGTTAATGATAACTGCAATTGGACCAAATTAAATTTAGCTATACTAAATTAAGGTTGAAGATCATTGATGATAAATTATATAATAATTGATTTTCAAATGAGAAAGATACCATATGGATATTTAGAAGCCAATAAATGTATGATTGGAACATGCAATCTGCAATGATAACGATAAAAAGATTATATTATTCATATAACCAGAACCATTAAATATTGTCTTGTTTAATATTATTCCGTATTTTCCCTTTCTTGGAATCTATATTCCGGGTTATGGGCGCACAAGAATACAAGTTTTTTTTCTTTGTGTTCATGCAATTCCTGTGGTTAAAGCCTCACACAGCGTCAATGATATAAATTCGGAATCAATGATTTCCAAGTGAAATAATTAATATCACATTTTGTTAATGATTTTCGAAAATAATGAGATATTATATATATATATATATATATATATATATTATTGTTTATTATATTATTTTCAAT